TATGGTGGTTGAGATATTACGCGTTTGGTGATGGTGGTGAAGATGGTGATACTGGCCAAGTAGGTGGTTGGCCAACAGGCAGGGGTTCGAACTTAGAGTCCGGACGAACGTTAGACCCTTTTCGCCCCCTCCATCGGAGATGCTAACCCTTGAGGCTTGAAGGCCTTGGCCAACAATCTCACCAACAATCTTACCTACCTTACTATCTGTGGTTAGTACCAACACGGGCACTCGGGCAGTAAGCTCCTTTCCCCAGTCTCCACCCAGACCTAGCCCTCTCAGGCTCTCACAAGCTCCCGCCTCCCGGTCGTCGATGCACGAGACTGTTGAATATTCAAAGTGGTGCTCCGAGAGACCGAGACAGCCCCTACTACTACTAAGCACTACTACTTATGATCCGAACCCAAGCGCGATATACTGTCGTATCTAGTCCATTCGGATCTCTCTTTTGGAACACTTTTAATCATTGCCCCGTCTACTCGAGGGAACCGCCGCTGATGTGATATCGAAGTCCTCGTGCCTGTGGACCTGTACCAACTACCAGAGTTGGAACGTTCACACCGGTGGAAGAGGATGCACCCCGTCTAAACCTACCGTGGTCACCGTCCTCGACCCCGATCGGGTCCTTTTTGGACAGCCGCCAACATGATTCGGTATCGACGATATCGAGCCGTCCTCGTCCTTGCGGGTATCGTGGTTTTCCTCCTGTATAACCTCAGCGCGAAGTCATCCTGGAAATCGGTCACACACGTCGCCGAGTCAGGAAGCGGTCACTTGAGCAAATCCGATCCAGACAAGCAGTGGCCGGCAGCGGATACAAACGGTGGAGATGGCGCAGGATTGGATGATGGAGTACACAATGACGAGTCCATCCGACGAATCCCTCCCGCGGAAGAAGTTGAGAAGCCCGCCCAGAAACCCTCACCCTCGAAGACCGCCCCATCCAAAACAAAGACCTCCCCTTCCGCAGCAAGCGACAACAATCCCTACGTCGGAGGTGCGTTACCGCCCATCGAAGATGTCCTGCTCGAGCATAGCGCCGGCCGCTTCGACGTCGAGCCACTTTCCATTCCGTCGCCCATCTTCTGGGCCCGGCAACCGGAGCACTTCCCCGTCCAGTCGACGATCCCGCTGCCTTCTGGCACGCCGAAAGCGATCCCAAAGATCCAATTCGAATTCAAGGAGGAGTCGGCCAAAGCGAAGACCCGGCGAGAGGAACGGCTTGCGATGATCCAGGACTCGATGGCGCATGCGTGGCGCGGGTACAAAGCCACAGGATGGGGTCACGATGAGATCAGGCCCGTATCGGGGAAGAAAAAAGATCCGTTCAATGGGTGGGGAGCGACGTTGATCGATTCGTTGGATACGCTATGGATCATGGGCATGGTCGAGGAGTTCGAGGAGGGGTTGAAACACGTAGAGAAGGTCAATTTCAAGACGTCGGAAAGGCACGATATCCCGGTATTTGAGACCACCATTCGATATCTCGGGGGGCTGATTGGCGCATATGATTTGAGCGATGGGAAGTATCCGATTTTGTTGGAGAAGGCGGTGGAGTTGGCGGAGATTCTAATGGGCGTGTTTGACACGCCGAATCGCATGCCGGTGCCGTATTATCAATGGAAGCCGTAAGTTTGCAGAACCCCTTGGATCGCGTTCCATGGCTAATTACGTCGCAGCGCGTTCGCATCTCAACCACACCGATCGACTACTAGCATCGTGCTGGCCGAACTCGGATCGTTGGCTGTGGAATTCACGCGTCTTGCTCAGTTGACCAAAGAGTCGAAGTATTATGATGCGATTGCGCGGATTACCGACGCGCTGGATGAGTACCAAGACCGAACGCGAGTACCTGGCTTATGGCCGACGAGAATAGACGCATCCGGTTGCCAGCGTCAGAGTTCCTACGGCTCAACCAGGACGGTTACTGTTCAGCGTGCATCTACGCTCGATGAAGAAGTCGATGCGGATGAGTCGGTTCGGTTGGCGCATAGCAATAGTATGCAAGGCACTACAAAACCAGAAGATACGGATGAGAATGGCGAAGTTCCTCTCAAGAAGCCAATGCCAATCATTTTCAAGCCGAGCTTAGGGAAGAACAAAAATCCCGCTGCCCGAGCAGCATCTGCGGAAGAAAATACGGCAGACGACACCTCCAAGTCATCCGAAGGACTATCAAAACGCCAGCTTTCAAAGAAGATTGAGACGGTCCCGCAATCGGGTAACACGATCCCGGTAAGAGCAAGAGGAGGCGAAGAGCAACCGGCGACTCCTGAATGCACTCCACAGGGGCTCGCTTCCACCTCTCAGTTCGCAACGGAAGAGTATACCCTCGCATCTATGGCGGACAGCGCATACGAATACCTGCCCAAGATGCACCTTCTCCTAGGCGGCCTGTCGGACCAGTACAATAAGATGTATATCAAAGCGACCGAAGCGGCCAAAGATAAGCTCATTTTCCGCCCCATGCTCCCGGACGAGGACGACGTCCTCATTTCCGGCACTTACTACGTCAGCAGCCAGATGCAGGGCGAAGACTTGCCCCCCAAACGCACGGGGAAGCTCTACCCGGTTGGGAGCCATCTCAACTGTTTCGTCGGCGGCATGTTCGCCCTGGGCGGCAAGATCTTCAATCGCAAGGAGGATACCGAGATCGGCGCCAAGTTGACCGACGCATGTATTTGGAATTATCTCAGCACCACCAGCGGCATCATGCCCGAGACGTTCACCACCATCCCCTGCAAAAGCACGGCGCAGTGCAAGTGGAACGAAACCCGCTGGATGGAGATCCTGGATCCGTTCGCGCGGGAGCGACAGGGGAGCTACCTGCAGCAGCTCGAGACATACCAGTCGGCGATGAAAGGATTCGATGACGACGAAGGACCTGCCGAGCCGTTGGCAGTCGTGGCGTCGAACCCGACCAATCTCCCCTACCGCGGGCAGCAGGACAATGATGATGACGAGCGGCCGAGCACCGGGACGGTCATGAAGCGAGACCCCGACTCGCAGCTTCTAGTGCCGCAAATGGAGGACGTTGGCGGAGAAGATCCGGCGAGCGCGAATAAGCCAATGAAAGGCCGGCCGTTGATTCTGCGCCCTAGCCCGCCGAGCCCCCCGTTGAGCCACGAGGAGTACGTCCAGACTCGAGTAAGGGAGGAGCGGATCCCGAAGGGGTATGCCGCCATCATGGATAAACGGTATTTGCTACGGTAAGTCGCCATCCGACTCTTTCCGAGGGCCGATCGCCCATCTGGACGTCTACTAACAATGCTCAACGGCAGACCCGAAGCCATTGAATCGGTCTTCTACCTTTATCGCATCACTGGCGATCCGAAGTACCGGGAGGCCGGGTGGAAGATGTTCGAGAACGTCGACCGGCGCACGCGCACGACCATCGCCGCGTCGGCCATCGACGATGTCACCAAAGGGAACCCACTGCATCGGGACGAGATGGAAAGCTTCTGGACGGCGGAGACGTTGAAGTATTTCTATCTGCTGTTCGCGAAGGAGGATGTGGTGAGTTTGGATGATTGGGTGTTCAACACGGAGGCGCATCCCTTTAAGATGCCGACGTCTCCACCAAAGTAACCCTAGAAGCGCTAAGAAGCCCCATTGTTTTTTGTGTTGGCGATTTTATATACGTGCAGAATACCCGGTATACTTATTGGATTAGGGGTACATTGCGAGAGTCCGGAGGCCATCTGGTCCCGTACTGCATGAAATATAGCGCATGCTAGTCTCTAAATGATATTTGGATTAATTCGCGGACTCTAGGAAGAAATGTGAATCCTATAGACCCTACTAGCATAGAGAGCTGTAGTAGTAAGTCCTGCGTGTGTACATGTATTCCAGAACCACCTGTAAACATCTTGGTAGAATGATAATCCGGTCAAAAGGCCAAACTGAACTGGAAGCAATGAAAGCCGAACCGTCCCCACCGTCAACGCCTCGCTGTGCTCCGGTGGGCTACCCAACGCACCAGGAAAAGCGACTCCGCCAAACAAACGCTGGACAACGCTCACGCAACCTGTATATCCTCCTCATGTTTCACTTTACTCGGCGTCATCACGCCCGGCTTCTCCGTATGCTTCGCTACTTCCATCATGCTCACACTGCTCCCCCCATCCATAACGCTCATCCCCAACATCCGCCGGGCCAGGTCTTTCTGCGCCTCCTGCACCGGCGTCTCCGATCGCAACGGTTCGTCCGCATCGCGCAGCCACGGAACGGTCGCGCACCGCTTCACCAGCCGCCGCGTCGTCGGGTCCACCGGCGCGAAATGGAACCCATAAAGGGGCCCCGCGCCGTTCATGCCGGCGCCGAGGTCCTGAACGGGCGAGTCGGTCGGGCTGTCCACGTCATCCACATCCGGCGGCAACCCGCCGACAAGTATCCGCAACATCTTCCGGATTTCCTCGCGCTTGTAGTGCATCCCTGGTCGGTGGAGTTGGCTGTTCGCGAGCATGGGATGAAGGACGCGCAGGTAGGTGTGGCGGAGAGCTTGGGCGGCGTTGTCGTCGATGGGGAGGTCGAGGAGATTGCGGACAGTAACGTCGAGGAGGACGTGCAAGTCGTTGGTGTAGAAATACTCGGCGGTGGAGAGGGAGGAGAAGATGAGGTAGAGGAGTTTGAGGATGAGGAGCTGGAGGGAGGTCTCGGACTCGCGGTTGAGGAGGAGGATTAGGTTTTCGCCGAAGGTTTTATGCTGTGGGTAGGTGCTGATGAATTTAATGATGCGGTTGGTGAGGGGGGCCGGTCCTGGGACGGTCGCGGAGGTGCTGTTGACAAGATATTGTTCATTGAGAACCAGCTTCGGTCGGTTAGAGACGCCCAAATGGGGATGGACATGGAGGACTCACCAGAACTCGGATGACGGAGTAATGATAGGGATCACTGGCATCATACCATAGCCCCTCTACGATATCGAAAAGATACTTTATAAAGCTGTCGCCAACCGCTACTGTAGGACTGTCAGTATCCTATCGCTTTTGAAACCCGCTCGACGTACTTAAGTCTTCCCAATCAAGTCTCTGTATCCTCGACATTTCATACATCAACTCCAGGAGCATCCGGTGCAGCGCCACATTATTTTGCGCGACGGGCGCATGAATAAGCTCCACCACCCGAGGAAACCCGCCCTCCTGTTGGAACATCATGAACGTCTCGTCGTGCATTCGCCCGTCGTAGAGGAGGATCGCCGCGATGACGTGCAATGAAGGAGCGTCATCTTCCTACAACCCGGTTGCTCATTAGTCGCCGCCGTGGACGCCTGTTTTGCCCGATCGGTCACGTACCTGGAGAAGGCTGTAGACGAGCTGTCGTCGAACGTAGTCCTTGTGCGGCTGGAACAAGGACGAGTTCAGGAATTTGAAGATACATTGCGCGATGTCTTGGTCGGATTGAAGATAATCGTCTGTCCAGTACCTTCGAGTCAGCGCTGGATTGTCTTTGCGTTCGGTATCCGAGAGACATGTTGCCCATACCTTTGAAGTGGGTGGTGAAGTGGAGGTATGACCGCAAAGCATCATCGATTAACTCGGGCTCATTGCAGTGTTTCGAAACAATATCGTCGAGTTCTATTGATGTCCACCAGTTTAGCCATTTGGTCCGCACAGGATCTCGCACCGCACACACATGCGATGCTATCTCGTATCGTGCGTGAACCGAATTCGTTGCGGGGTACATTACCAGCCCAGAATTGCTGTTCACTCTCGAGGTTGTACGAAACCTCGATTTCCATCTTCGAATCCGACAGCGAGAAGAGTCATAGTCATGATCGGGGATAATGGAGCGGAGGAGGCATTTGGGCGATTGAGAGGCCCGTCAGAAGGGCTGCGGGGGATATGGATAAAAGGGGATGAAGCAGCGAAGTGGGCTGTGACGGTCTACCGATCGATGATGCCCGATCAGCGTGACTTCATTATATGTGCTATAATTAAGTATTAGTGTCCCATGGGTGCGACCCTTTCACAAAGCCGTCGAGAAATATATCAAATGTCGCAAATGTTGCAAATAATTGTTGAGTGTTTTCGATTTCCCTTGGAATATGGAATCGAATAAGGAAGCCATGGAATTTATGGTGTATCCTGCAACCCCTTGCCATGATGTCTGTAAGGACATCGGCAGTCCAAAAAAATCCCTTTCGCCCCGACTCCCATCGCAATGCTGAAAACAAAGATAATAATACATCGAAATCTATGTAGTGGACGTTCAAAAGCCACCTTCGAACTTGAACTGGCCCCCACCCGGGAACCTGAACCCTCCCCCTCCTCCTCCTTGCCTGAAGAAGAACTGCTGGCCTCCCGGTCCTCCGAACGGCGATCCTTGGAACGGAGCACCTTGTTGTTGCTGTGGGTTGTTTGGATCATCGCCATTGTCGAAACGCGCTCGTAGTTCCGGATCGCTCAGGATTTCGTAGGCGCCGTTGATCTCGGCCATCCTCTTCTCAGCAGCTTCCTTCGACATGCCTTGAGCGGACGCCTTGTCAGGGTGGAACTGTTTGGTGAGCCCTCGGTAGGCCTTTTTTATCTCTCTGTCGTTTGCATCCTGGGACACTCCGAGGATCTTGTAATAGTCTATTTGTTGTGACTTCTTATGCGCCTTCTGTGCCTTTTGCAGCATCTCTAGGACGCGGTGGTTCTGTGAATGATGTTGTTTGGCTTCGTTCAACGTATGGATCGCTGGCTCCCAGAGCTCTTCGTCCATCTGCTTCTGCGCCTTGGCGACCAACGCCTCGAGATGGGTGGGATTGAATGCCAACACTTCGTCACAATACTTCGCGCCTTTCTTCATGTTGTTCATCTAACGGCCGGTCAGCTTGAGCATTTCGTAGGTCATTACAGGCACCACTCACATTAACGTAGGCCTCGCATGTCATCTCGACGAGCGTGGTCCGAAGGCCTTGATTGGTTTTCGCAGGAATTATCCCGGAGCTCCGGTACTCCGCCATCTCCTCCTCTGCTTGCTTTATCAAGCCATCCTCACTCTGCGACCCAACCAGAAGGGCAGTAGCCTGTGAAAGTCGGCCCTTTTCGACAAAGTCGTTGACTTTCTTGAGTTGTTTGACGATCGCTTTCTCTTTCCTTCGCATCTGCATGCATGGTTTCGAGTCGGGGTCCGATTGCAAGCACTTCACGACCTGTGCCACGCCTTTGTCGGTCTCTCCCAGACCATAGAATAGGGTCGCGGATATTTGTAGGTGCGGCTCAATCGACTCGGAACCGCCTTGGAGCATGTGCTGTAGGTCTCCAATCGCCTCCATGGTCTCCCCTCGCTCGAAGCGACATTGCGCGCGGATTCTCCGCAGCTCCGAAACCCCTCCAGCAACTTGTATCGCGATTCCGGCGCTGTTCACACAGGTTTCCCAGTCCTGCTTTTTCGCCGCGATGCCGGCTTCTTTAGCCGCTCTCTCCGCCTCGTTCAATTCGGCGAGCTCCTGCGTTGCCTTGCTCCCCAGCGTCTCGTAGTCTTTCCGCGCCGACTCCCAATGCCCTTCCCGGGCTCGTATTTTTGCGCGTTGGACCAAGACGCTTTCGAAGTCGGGTTTGATCGCGAGGATTTTATCGAAATCGTTCAGCGCCTGCGAGTGTCGACCGAGGGAAAGGTATGTGGTGGCCCGGCTGAACAGCGCAACGTAGTCTTTCGGATCCCGTTGAATGGCCACATCGTAGTATATGAGGGAGTCTTGCACTTCTCCCGCAGCGAAACTAGCCTTAGCCGATTCCAACAGCTTCGAGACTGGGGTATCGGAGGGAATATCGGCGGGTGATATCGCGATCACTTGGGACGCGGGGCCCAGGAATGCGATGAAGGCGATGGTCCCGAGCGGGAGCCGCATGATGACGGGCGGCTGGCGGCAGCTATTCTTGAGGGTGATGCGGAATTCGAAGCCGATGTGAAGGCATAGAGGGGTTGGATTGTGAATAATATCCAAAGCCGAGGGGTGGGAGATATAGGAGTGGAATTCATAGAATTATATATTTCCAAATCGTAGAAAAGGCCAACTGGACATTTGGCAACATTGACGAAATGGATCTCGAACGATCTGGGGTTGATGCCTCAGGCATAATGATGATCACGCCAAGAACGGACATCGAGCTGATTAAGGCACGTGACATTCAGGGGACAAGGGAGGAGGGGAAAACTTGTCAGGCTGTAAGGCTAACAGGCTGAAAATACATTGAATGTCACGTGCCAGGTAATACAGACCCCAGCTTACACCGGTATTCACCCGGCGTTACTCCATTTAGGGGAGCTTGCGAGGGCACGATTTAGCTCCCTGTGGCATGACGCTCGTTCGGCCGTGTGCGATTCCGTGTGTGATTCCAATTCATCTTCTCCGCAACCTACATGCCTCAATTCTGTCAGCGTAAGGCGGGAACTACTACCTAAGCCCACCTTCCGCATCAGCTGCAGTGGTCTTTGCTGCGATGGTCGTTTTACTCATTTAATAAGTATCTACCGCCTCCGGATCCAATGTGATTTCCTTTAGTCTTGATTTAGATCATCGACGTATATGAACCTATCATAGTCTGATCCAGTCCGTCAAAAAGTCGCATTGCCTGCTTGGATTACGCTTGGAAGTCGTTGTCGGTATGGCTTCATTCAAACTTCAGATCGATGGCACTCGTTTCTGTGACTCCAACGGTCGCGAAGTAATCCTTCATGGAATCAATGTCTCCGGTGACTGCAAGCTCCCAACCACGCCGTACGTCCCGTCGCATCAGTTGGAGCATTTTTTCGACGGCGACAATGTCTCTTTTGTTGGACGGCCGTTCTCTCTCTCGGACGCCCATACCCATTTCGCAAGACTAAAGCGGTTCGGGTACAATACGATCCGGTACCTTTTTACCTGGGAGGCGCTGGAGCATGCAGGCCCGGGGAGATATGACGAAGAGTACATTGCGTACACCATCGAAGTTCTGAGGCTGGCGAAGGAATATGGGTTCTACGTCTTCATGGATCCGCACCAGGATGTGGTATGTTTTGCGTTGCAATGGATCTAGTTCCGTCTGACATCTTTATGTAGTGGTCACGGTTTTCGGGCGGATCAGGATCGCCAATGTGGACAATATATGCGTGCGGCCTGGATCCGCAAAAGTTCGCGGCCACCGAAGCCGCAATCGTTCACAATACCCATCCCGACCCCGAGAACTTTCCGAAGATGGTCTGGTCCACCAACTATCACCGGCTTGCATGCCAGACCATGTTCACGATGTTCTTCGCCGGTAAGACCTTCACCCCTCTCGCCATCATCGATGGCAAGAATATCCAGGACTATCTGCAAGACCACTTCGTGAATGCCTGTCAGCAACTCGCCAAGCGAATGAAGGAAGCAGGTGGCTTGGACCACGTTATCGGTTGGGAAAGCTGGAACGAACCGAATCGTGGTATCATCGGCTGGCAAGACCTCACTGTCATCCCAACCGAGCAAAAGCTACAGAAGGGGACGTCGCCAACCGCTTGGCAAGCGATGCTTCTTGGATCGGGCCGTGCATGCGAAATCGATATCTGGGATATGGGTGGATTAGGCCCGTACAAATCCGGGTCAACCCTGGTGGATCCCAAGGGCGAGATCGCGTGGCTATCCGACGATTACGATGATACCCAGTATGGGTGGAAGCGAGACCCAGGTTGGAAGATGGGGGAGTGTATCTGGGCCCAGTGCGGCGTCTGGGACCCGTCGACGGATGCACTCCTGAACAAAGATTACTTTGCGAAAGATCCGGAGACCGGGGAAACGATCGATTACGAATACTTCACCAACCGCTACTTCATGGCCCACTACCGAAGGTACCGCGATATGGTCCGGAAACTTTTCCCTGAAACAATCATGTTTTGCCAGCCTCCTGTGCTGGAGATTCCTCCCTCCATCAAGGGGACTTCAGACGACGATCCTAACATGGTGTTTGCCCCGCATTTCTACGACGGCATTACTCTGATGACCAAGAAATGGTAAGGGACCCCTTTGCATCCCTAACTTGTGACTGACCTTCAGTAGGAATCGAGTTTGGAACGTGGATGTATTCGGCATATTGAGAGGCAAGTACCTGCACCCAGCGCTGGGTATTAAGATTGGGGAGACCGCGATACGAAACTGCTTCCGGGACCAATTGTCTGCCATTCGCCAAGAAGGCATGGACAACATGGGCGAGCGTCCGTGTGTGTTCACCGAGATTGGAATCCCATATGATATGGACGATAAGCACGCGTATAAGACCGGTGACTTCTCCAGTCAGATCTCCGCTCTCGATGCGAATATGTTTGCTGTTGAGGGTTGCGGCGCTGCTGGATTTGCATATTGGGTATACGCGGTGCAGGTGAGGATTAGCCACGCTCTGTCCGGTCAAGACTTCAAACTAACAAAGTCTCGCAGAACGACCATAAATGGGGCGACCAGTGGAATGGGGAAGATCTCTCGATCTTGTCAACCGAGGACAAAATCTTGCCAGAAAGGGCTATGAGCAACCTTTCCCAGGTTTCCCTCAACCGCAACTCGTTGTCATATTCCGAGAGCCTTGCATCATCCGAAAGCTCTGGCGTCACACCTAGGAACCTCAAGCAGACGTTATCGGCCAATACGGATCCTGGGCAGTCACAGATGTCGCAAAAGCCGCTCGACAATGTCGGTTACCGTGCCGCCGAGGCCTTTGTACGCCCCTACCCTATTGTGACTCACAGCCAGATTGTTTCCTACGGCTTTGATCTGAAATCCTGCACCTTCTCGCTCACGCTCGATGCACCGTCCGCGACAAGCGATGATCTCCCCACCGAGCTGTTCCTTCCAGAGTTCCATTTCCCATCCAGCGTCACACAGATCGAGGCATCGGGTGGAAAATGGACGGTCAGTCTGGATGACGAGAACGGTGTGGTGGTTCAGCGGTTGAAGTGGTGGCATGCGGAGGGAGAGCAGACGGTGACGATCAAGGGGATCAAACGCAAAGCGGGCACATACCTCGCGGCGGACGATGAGGAAGAAGGGTATTTGGGGCAGTGTAGCGATCAAGGAAAGAATTGCGTGGTGATGTGACAGTTGACAGATGGGTATTCATGTCAACTGAGAGTATTGAGTGCACCATGGCGTTCAGGAGCAATTCGCACTTTTGAAGCATTACTCATTATTCATGTGGAGATAGTGGAGTTGGGCAGTGACTGGGATTATGGCTGATATGGGCTTAAACATGACTCATACATATTGCGCTCAGAGAGGAAGATTAGGAGAAGGCATCCATTGATCAAATTCGTCCGTGGCCGGCGGTGAGGGACAAAACACGGAGTCATGCATAATCCCATAATAATGGGTATCATCTCATAGTATATTCAAAGACATCCCATTTGTGTAGGCCCAAGGCAATGGCGGTTTTCTTCCGATCCTGTGATACCGCGTTGGAGTCGCGTGCCATCACCACCGACCCTCCGCTGTGAAGCTTTTATGTAACAGTTCCACTACCAAGCACGAGTGGCCAATACGGCGATACCAGATTCACCTAGTGATTGATAGACCTAACTTCCTTCAAACCCCTCCGGCTGATCCAGTGAACCATTGTCGCGGCATTAAATCACGTTGAAGGGCTTCCTCGTCCTCTCTACTCGAACGCGATGTGGTAATTGTCATCGTTTTACAGGAAGCATCGCTGCCCATCCCACCTTCGCGCCAGTCTGTTCCACAAAACAGGCAGAGAGACAGACAGCTAGAACTTCCAGGTCATTAACGAGTAGCCTCTCCTGACTTTGTCAAACCCAGCAGCGAGGTACATCCCAACGACTCGGCCGCTGTTTCATCCATTTGCCCAGCTGAGCCTCCAGCGCTCACGCTGCAACACATCCAACCATACGCCATGTCCGCGTTCCCTCCCGCCGCCCCTCCAACGTCCACCAGCAATGGCAATTCCGGAACCGCCGCACCGGGCGACCCTTCCAACACGTTCTCGCTGATCCTCCAAGCCCTCTCCGCCATCTACGACCCGCGATCCACCAACGAAACACGCCGCAGTGCGTCCGAATGGCTCGAGACCGCCAAACGCGACCCTGACGCCCCAGCCCACGGCTTCGCCCTCGCGCAAGACCGCAGCCAGCCGCCGGCGCTCCGGTACTTCGGCCTGACGATGCTCGAGCACTCCATCAAGTATCGGTGGCACTACGAGGATGAGAACGGGACGCGAGCACTGCAGCAGTGTGCGGTGCAGTTGGCCGAGGGCGTGTCGGCGGAGGACCCGTCGTTCTTTCGAAACAAGGCGGCGCAGTTGTGGGTGGAGGTGGCGAAACGCGCGTGGGGAGATACGTGGATGGATATGGACGAGTTGCTTGTCAGGCTATGGGGGAAGAGCGTCATTCATCAGGGCGTGGTGCTGAGCATCTTGGAGACGCTGTGCGAGGATGTCTTTTCGAAAGACGACACAGCGGTGGAGATGCGAGGAGGCGAGCTCAGTCATGCGTGCGTGGAGATCATAACCCCGGCAGAGGCGCTGGCGAGGCAATACCCGACCAGAGCTGTTGGGAACCAACTGCGATTCGGCGAGGACGGGTGGTTGAAGAGGATATGTGACCTCCTCCCCACGTTCTTCGAGCAAGATCGGATCAAGGACGAGCAAATCCTGGCCTGCGCTGTGAAGGCGGTGAACACGATGCGCTCGACGTTGAGTTGGGTCATTCCCCGAGCCATCGCGATGACCGGCTGCGTGGGCTACCTCTGCACCTCCTTGTCCTCCGGCGTGATTGAGCTCCAAATCTCCACGGTCGAGGCGCTCCAAGCCATCTTCGCGCGGAGCCATATCGAGTCGGACGAGTTCGCCGAGGAAATCATCGGCCCGATGCTCACTGGGCCCCGAGCCGACCTGCTCAGAAAAGTCTATGTGTGGACGACGGAGCAGATGAGCGATCTGGACGAGCAGAAGTACGCCTTGTGCAAGAAAATCACCGAACTCCTTTCATATCTGGGAACCTGTCTCGAACGATCATTCAGTCGTCTCGGTCCGAACGCCGCCATCGCAGAGTTTCTGAGCCTCATTTTCGACGTGCTACAGAATCCCAGTCTGATGGTCTCCATCCCTGTCCTCCACCTTTGGTCCAAGATCTTGAAATCGCCGTCGTTCCGAGACTCGAATGAGGTCCGAGGAATGATCGGGAACATCCTGGAGATCTGTAGCGAACGGCTCGTTCGATACGAGTTCTTGCCGGAAAACACGGACAATCTGACGGTCCTGTTCCTCAAGGAAGACATGGATACGCTTCCGGAGCAGCATGCTTTCCTGGGAAATTACCGACGTTACTGCACAGATGTCATCGAGCAAATAGTCCGGTCGACGCCCCTGGATGCCTCTCGCCACATCCTGTCACAGGCCGCAAGTCTCTTCACATCGATCCAAGCCGAGCAGGCCAAATTCGACCCTAACACCTTCTCAAAGAATTCCCCCGACAATCTTCGGATTGAAGCTCAGATATCGGTTGTTGATGCTGCTATGAAAGGGTTCATCAAGTGGCGGAACGGCAAGGGGGCCGATCCCGTGGAAAATGAGAATGATCGCAATGGGATGCAGGATCTCTATGAAGAATGGTGTCGTACCTTGTTGACACTCAAGTTCCAAGATCCCGAGATCACAAAGAGATTGAACACGCTCTGTGTCACAATTTCGACCAAAGCGCTTCCTACCAGACCTGGGCTTGCGGTCGCAGTTTTGGATCATCTGTTCAATCTCGAGACGCGCGATATCAGTGCGCCTCACCAGTACTCCGAAGCAATGCAGAGCCTGGAAAGCAGTAGTGCGACCGAGATGCAACGCTTAGCTTTCGTATTCTCCGACCACTTCTTCACCCTATATGATGACTTGGAGAGGAAAGCAAACCATATCATGGCGAATCAACAGCTAAGCGACAGGCGGATGCAAGCGTTCAGGACGCTCCTCTTCATGCTCATACATCGAGCGAAGACTCTGGACGAAAACACTAAGCAACAGAAGCTCGAAAGCATCATAGAGCCAGTCAAAGCAGCCTGGACCAATCCAACGCTGACTGAAGGTTTGTCGTCCTTTGGCTCCTTCTGTGAGATGCTGGCCTTCGGGAGTCTTCCGGACTACTTTCAAAGCCGGGGATTTCGGCAGGTGGAGGACTGGTCGGCTAAAGAGCTCGACGAGGAAGGCAAGGCTATTCAGCAAAATATCAACAGCCGGTTTCAAGGGCTTCCTTTGCGATCCACTAAATCCTTCTTAACAGCCTCCACCGAGAAGATCGAGGACGGCTCGCCAGAACATGAGATGACATGTCTCATCTGGTCCCGGGCCATTCCCGTGATTCTCCCTAACCTTCTTAAGCTTGTCGGCCAATCGCAAGCATTCAACGATCTCACGAACTGGTCTCAACTTCCGGAAGAGATGCAGGCCGTCATAAAACGAGTCCTGACCGACCGGTTTTGGCAATCCGGGATCTCGACCGAAAGTAGGGAAACGTTTTTCGCCAAGGTCAGCAGCTCGAAGACCACGTACGAAGGTTTCGCTTCGACGATACGCGGCACCGTGAGACAGATTCGGGAGTCATGCTACTGGATAATATACGGCTTCATCCGACTCAAGGACTTGTTCTATGGGATTCCGGAGCTGCCAGGTCCTTTAAGCGATGCGCTCTTCAGCAACGCACACGCATTGTCAAGCCATCACGTTTCCGTCCTGCTAAATATGTCGATGCAGCTTATAGAGTATTGCCCTGTCCATCTCCGGCCCCATTTCCTACCCAAAGTCGTCTCTTCGCTCTTCGCAGTCTTGGACAGGAAAATCGGTTCGGAATGGGAGCAGGTCACCAAGAGGGTCAGCGAGCAACGCGCGGACGATAACCTAGCCGACGAGATGAAGGATGAGAGCATTCTGCGTCAGCTAACCTTCAATGCCATCTCCCTCGCGGCCAGTTTACTTGACCCTCAACGCAACGGTAAGGACTCCTCGAAACGTCCCATCCGCAGAACACGCACACTAAACCCTTCTTGCGAAGACCACTTTTCCCCCAAGCAGCGCGAATCCGGGCAAGGAGAGTCCGCTGAATCCACCAACCTCGCCACCTTCGTTCTCAGCTCCCCCCAAATTCTCGAACCCCTTCTCCTCTTCATCACCCACACCCTCCGCGTCCGCGACACCCGCTCCTGCAACCTCGCCATCCGCGCCCTCCGCAACGTCGCGCCCCGCTTCCGCACCCCCGCCTCCGACCCCGTCCATGTCTTCCTCGCCGATGAAGTCCTCAAGGCGGCCATCACTTCCTTCAACGAGCCCTACTTCGTCGACGTGCAGAAGGACCTCGCCATGCTAATCGCGCAGATCATCCAGATCGACTCGGACGGCCAGCCGGAGCAGCAGATCTCTCGACAAGTCCTCCTGTCCTTGCCGGGCTTGTCGGATCCGCACGCGCGGAGCCGGGTGGACGACGCGGTGGCCAATATCCGCGCGGCGTCCGGGCAGGGCATGGATCGGAAAGCGCGGGCCTGCGTGTTGACGTTGCTCGAGGGCGTCCGCGGCGTCAGCATCCACGAGATGGGCAAGGTGGAGCGGCCGGCGTTCGAGTCACAGAAGAAGCCGCGGAGCAAGCTGGCGGAGATGTATATGAGCGGGGTAGAGAATCAGGGAATTGTCCGAGGTGGAGAGGCGAACCTCGCGGGCGTGGCGAGCATGTTCGGGGAGAACTGACGGATACCGCCGGCGGATGTGGGGTCGGTTGGTCTTTCGATGCATCTACAGTCCAGCATACGGCTACGCCATGATATGAACAAGTTCTTGAAACGACGGAATGACGGGTCTGGTCCAGCTATGGTTTCGAGCCAGCGGATTCTTTGAGATATCACTATTCCAATTATGCAGCAGCCGACGCACCCTAGCGACAGGCGTCTATTCCTACATCATCAACACGACCGCTATAAAACCTTTATGGTATGATGTTCAGGGCATTATGCTCGACGAAAATTAGCAATCCAGATTTGACTGACCAATCCTATCTCCTTCACTGCCCATTCACCTTTTCAAGCATTTCCCGGCTGATGTCCTAAACCTAAAAGCGCTCGCTGTGCTTCCGGTCAAATGAGCACATGCGATTAATCGATTACTAACAAGTGATACCCAAGGCTTATGGTCAATCAACAGTAGTCTAATGCAATGTTGTAGGCAAGCCCATGTCTTATCGCGCATGTAGAGTGTGGAGAAGGTCTCCACATGGAATATAAACCCCAAACGTGGATTTACCCTATAGTTCGCTCAATTCGCCATGAACGAGTTCTCGGAAAATATATTAAAACCGAATCAGTGGCTTCATCATGGCCAATATCTGGTCCGCAACTGTCTAATTGCAGCATGATTGAAAATATGTCCCCCGAACAATATTTAGGATAAACGTCTCTCTCGATGTCGTCCCATTCTTGTGTTCGACAGAGAATCACCGAGAAGGTTAAGTTAAAACCATGTCTTTGAAGTTCCTTGTGCTCACGTTATCGGCCGCTGCGACTGTCGTTGGACAAGCAGCACCATGCTCCCCACTGGAGATGATCTACGGTACCCTCTCCTCTCCCTCCGCGCCACCGACGCTAACCCAGCCATCCACAGCCAAAGCCACCGGAGAGAGCGGCCAATACGGCATCATAGTCGGCAACACGCTCGTCCGCCAAGTCCTCCAACTCGTCCCTAGCGCAACTGGCTACTCCGTCCCCTACCCCGCCGACTTCAGCGACCGCAGCCCGGAGCTGGGCGTCCAAACCCTGCTCCAGCACCTTCAGACGCAGGTCACCGCGTGCCCGGACCAGAAGTTCGCGCTCTCGGGGTACTCGCAGGGCGCCGTAGTGCTGCATCGTGCGGCGGTGGATTTCACGCCGGAGATCTTCGAGCGCGTGGTGGCGGCGGTGACGTTTGGAGATGGGGGGCAGCAGGCAACGGCGGCGAATCCAATTTATGATAGTCCGGTGGGGCCGATTCCGAAGTGGCCCGAGCAGATGGAGGGGAAATATAAGTTTAACTGTGTTCAGGGGGATCTGGTAGGTGCTGAGTGGATGAAGGAACGAACGCGACTGACGAGGCCTAGACGTGCACGCCGGGAGGGTCTTCGACGCTGGCTCATTTGCGATATAACTCGGGGTCGTATATCTCGGACAGCGCCAAATTCGTGGCTCAACAGTATCAGAAACTGGGTGGCTCGTCTTGAGTCCATAGTTGGTCGTTATCCCTGCTCTTCATGTACATATCGTGATATGGAGTTTCGAGGAACAAGATCCGTAGCGACGGAGGGTATCATGCTCTTTTCCACATCTTCATTCTACGCAGCCCGGTTCTTGCTCGCTCCACATGCCCCACAAACCCCAGCGTCTCCAGGATTGATATAATTGTTCTCTTTGCACGACGAGCTCTGGCATCTCCAAGTGCTGAGGAGTTTGGAAGGCTTCAACACGTTCGAGCAGATCTCGCATATCAGGGCGGTCGAAGGATTGAGGTACGAGCAGACGTTGCAGGAGATCTGTTCGGTCTCTTCGGCAGGCCGCTGCCCGGCTTCGCCGGATGTTATCCCACTGTTCCGTGGTATTGAATTTGACTCCCCCCTCTTTACCTCAATGGGTAGCTCTTCATCCTCCGTCTCACTACCGTCGTCAGCGTTATCTATGAATGAACTTCCCGGCCTCTGCGGACGTTTCGTGAAGTATCGATCGATCCGCTGAAGCTCGTCCATTTCTCGCTTGGAGTCAACATCGTTGTTATCCTCGGTCTCGCAGATCTTCACAAAGCCCCGACCTTTCGAATCAGTGAGTCGCTTGCCATGTTCATCAACAGCGATCAGGTCGCTTTCAGTTTCCTCTTCGTATTCCGACTCTGTATCCGACTCGCCATCGGACGGCGCCTCACTCCGATCTTTCTCCTTCTTTACGTTGTCAAACCTAGCCAACGCCGCTGCGGCTCTCAGCTCCCTTCCTCTCGCACTCCCAGCCACCCGAGGCTTGCCCTGTACCTTCTTCCCTCCCTCGAGCTCCACTCGCTTCGTTTCGTCGTCCCCCAACGCAACCCCCCCGCTCCCAAACTTCTTCAAGATTCTCCGCTGCTGTCGCTCTGCGTAGCTCAGCTTCGGCTTCTCGGACGTCCCGCCTTGCCCTCTCTTTCTCTTTCTCCTCGCGCTGCGGTACGTGCCGCCACAGATATGCTCGGGGGCCATCGACGTATCCGGCATGACCTCCGTAGTGTACTGTCCGCTCAGCAACGTCTGCCCTCGACCCCAGAATCCCTCTCCCGTGTAATTCCGCGTCCACAATGCCCGAAGCTCATCCGCGTACCCATCACGCACCTTCCAGAAATTTTTCCCGTGATTCATCTCCTTGCAGTGCGCCAACTCATGGATCATCACCATCTGCACGTGCCGGAACGGCATCCACGCCCCGTTCTTTGCCCGGAGTACCAGCTGAACGGCTTCCCCGGCATTGAAGTTGCGGCCGACGAATTCGCGGTTCCAGGGGAACTCTTCCAGGGCGTTGACGACGATGTGGTTGCGCTTCATGATGGGGTAGACGATGGCCGCCACGCGTTCCAGGAAGTCTTGGGACAGCTTTTCTGAGGCCCCGGGGAGAGGCCGGATGAAGTTGATAAGTGCATTTGGGCGCTGGGTCTTTTCATTGATTCTCTCCCAGCCTAAAGGCATGGCCGGCAGGTGGGCGACGAGTTACGGGCAAAAAAGATTTGACTAGAGATGAAATCCAAATTTCAGTAAGTTGAACGTGTGTGCATAAGACCAAATAATGAAGACTCAAAGTAATGTGCCGCGATTCCAAATTGTACACCAGTCACCAAGGCTTCGTTCAGCAATACATACTCATTCCCTAGCAACAGAATTCCGGGTATTGCTCTTGATGACAAGTTTGGCGTACAGCTGAAATCCAAAGAACCAGTTGCGCCTTTAATGCAACTTTTTGGTTCGGCGTTGACTATTGAAGCTGGATGTTCAAGGAAGTTGGATTTACTTTGAAGGCAACGATTTGCGGTATATTTGAAGTGGCAACACATCCTAGCCTACCATCACTACGTACATTCAAATGAGCAGAAATAGGACACTGGAATCTTTCCGATATTTACCTATAGCCAGTCTAGGAAATTTAGCATAGCGTTAGACACAGGTTCTTCATTGTTCTAATATTATAGCAAAGGCAGATAAAATTACTCGCTATTCTAGTATGCTTCTTCCAGGGTATCATCTCCACGCTGGATCTGCTCCAACCCAAGTCGACGGACACCATATTCTATGATAAACCGGTCTTGCCCAGCTTCTCCGCAAGCTCGTCCACAGCCTTGTCTTTCTCCTGCGCGACCATCTGCTCCTCCGCTTCCTCGGCCCTCTTCACCTCCGTTTCCCTGACGGCTTCCTCTTCCTCCTCTTCCTCCTCCTCTTCTTCCTCCTCGCTCTCCTCTTCCAGCTCATCCAGTTCGTCCAACCCCCAATCATCCTCGCCCCACTCCCCCCCAGCAGCCTCCTTACGATCCTCCAACACCCCTCTTAGCTTCTCTACGAAGTCGTCGTCCTCGCCGAACCGGTTGCCGTTCAGCTCGACCCTCCTCAACTTGCCCAGCTTGTTCTCGGCGATATCCGCCAGCGGCGCGAGGGTCCTCGCGTCCATCTCCCCGTACTGCATCTTCAAAACCTCGAGATTCGGAAGGCCCCCCGCGGCCAACTTCGCAAGGAACGGCTTCCCCCCTTTTGACGTCAGGTAGCAATCGCTCAATCCAAGCTCCGTCAGCGCCGCCCAACCATCCACCGCGTTCGCCAATGCCCTGGACCCCAATTCCGTGAAGGTGTTATCCTGCATGTCTAAGACCTTGAGATCTCGGCAGTGCTTCAAGCCCTTCCGCAGCAAGACATCGATCCCCTCCTTCCGGATCCCGTTCTGCACCATCCGTACCGTCTGCATACCCTTCCCATCGCCCTTCCCCTCTGCATGCTTGGCGTGGCTTTCCAGCATCTTCGCCCACGCCTCCATGCTGCCCGTCTCCAGCCGGTTGCGCCCGCAGACGATCGTTTTGAGGGTGGGCGCGCCGGTCGCGATTTTTTTCTCGGCGAGGATGGCGAGGGAGTCACCGATCATGGCGCCGGCAGCGGGGCCGAGGCCATTGTTGTTGAGGTAGAGGTGCTCGAGAGGGGCGTGGGCGGATAGGAAGGTGATCAGGGGGGCGGAGGTGTTGAGTCCGAAGGCGTTGTCGGAGAGGTTGATGGTGTGCAGATTCGGGAGGGTGAGGATGGCGTCAAGGAGAAATGAGAGTGCCGGAGGGATCTCAGAGAGGAGGCGGGATGTAAAGATGTCGGCCAGGTTGGCAGTCTGTAAACATATTGAGTAATGGTTTATCGGATGTAGAGTTTGGGGGCCTACATGGAGCTTCCTTTTCGTTTTCAGGACTTCGGCGAGGGCCTCACAAGCGCCTACACCCAGCGTATTACCCAGAAGCCGGATCTCTTCCACATCGTCATTCTTCTTCAAGGCTTCGATATGAGGAGCAATGTCTTCGGCAGTGTCCAACTTCAGCCCCTTGCCCTCCAGCGAAAACACTTTTGACGAGGCCATCTTGAACTTTGGAGCGGAGGGTTCAACGGATAGAAATATAAGAAGGTTGAGACTCGGCGATCAGGAGAAAGCGGAAGGTTCAAGGCAGCAGTGGTTGTATGTAAAGATAGGCGGGGTGGCGCATTTCGAATGTTTTTGTGTGCTTTGGCGGCGATGCCATGGCAATTGGCTGCCGTAGTCGTCCAGGGTCTAGAGCCGTTTCCACGTAGTCCCCGCCACGTAGTCCCCGCCAAGACCGGCACATGCAAGACCTTAGCATTCCAGCAACAGCGAACATAGTAGTGATTCTCCGCCGTTCCGCTCCGCCGCTCCGCCGCTCCGCTCCACTCTTCTTCCCAATTGAACCCTGTCAACTCCCGATTGTTGGCCAGAACTCAGAATATCCCGTCACTGGATTTCAAAGCACCTCATCATCCCCAATTCGCAATTTCCTCACCGCGACGTGTTCAGAGATCATTCGACGAACCTACCAAACCCAATCGCCAAAAAGATGTCGGCCAGTACGTTTCCGCATCCCACCGACGTTGCAGATTCTGTTCTAACTCCTCGTAGCTGCATCCGCCACCAACGCCTGCCCGGCTCCGGCCCCGACATCCTCCCAATCCACGGAGAAAAAAGTTAAGGTACGATCCTCCCAGGCTGGTCCTTCGATCAACGCCATCGACACCATCGGCGACAAGCGACCGCACTTCTAACGACCTCGATCTAGCCATGCTGCGTCTGTACCGACGAGAAATCCGCCCGCGACGAATGCATGCTTTTCTCCCAATCGTCTGATCCGGGGAATCGGGAGTGCAAAGACCTGGTGAGCCGCTATCGGATTTGCATGGCGGGATTCGGGTTCCAGGTGTGAGAGGAGTGTGATGTTGGGGAGATATTTAGAAGCGTGATAGAGTGTACAACATTGCATTGGGAGGCGCATCGGCGGAGGGGATTGGAGTACGGCATTGAGAGGGCACAGCGGTACTGATAGAGTTTTACACGGAAAAATCGCCAGCTTTTCTTTATGCTATTACTCTATGGATGGTGTATCGATGTTAACCTGAGCAGCCAGCTAGGTAGCAGGGCAGTTCCCATTTTTCCATTTCCAATTGCCGAATCATTCAGTTCGGCGTGTTATCCGATCTGTACCAATTACTAATTACCTCACTCCAACTTGTGTGCACCAATTTCAAGGGTTCTTTCATATTTTCTCGTTAAGAATTCGAACCGTTCAGTCTTTCTTCTTCCTCAGACTCCCAAGTCTTCTCTTCAGTCCATCGCCGATGGCGCGACGGCTTGTGCTCCTTTGTAGACCAACATCGTCTGTGTCCTTGCCTTGGCCTGGTTCCCCGTCAATACCGGTAGTCTTGTTACGAGTCAGCATTGGGATGCCTCGTTCATCGAAACCTGGTTCGGCGCTCGCAACTCGCTTCTCTTCGGCGGCACGATCCTCGGAGAAACTGGGCTCGCCTTTACCCTTGTGATCGTCTGGGTGGTATTTCTGCGACCATCAGTATCACAATCTTCAGGGAAAGCGAATATGACCTTACCATTCCCGGCCAGCGTTTGTACGCATTGTCACCTTCAGTCATCATATTTTCCCCCTCTTGGTACTCCATCTGTCTGCCGAACCGGTCCATCTCGCCCGGGGGCACCGATGCGACCCCCACCAACGGCCGGTGACCGCGCACCGAATCGATGACCCGTTCGCGTGGGGCGGCCCGCAACGCCTCCTCGTTGCTATCCCTGACCGCCTCCAACGGGCTACTCTCGAAGTTGGCGTTTCTCGCCGCGAGCGTCGCATCGAACGGCCCCTCGTGGTGGTACGGAATGCCCGATGTGATGTCCAGTTTGTCAATGGTGTCCGGACGGGGCTGGTGGCGCTTCTTCAGATGCGGGGAGCGGTTCGCCCGCTTGCTGTCGGATCGGATGGTCTGCAGCGGCGTGTAGGATTGATCCCCCGGGAAGCAGCCGCCCAACGAATCTCCCCGACCGTGTGTACGGTGACCAGGAGGGGAGGAATGCTGGTAGGGCGGCAGCGGTCGGGCGATGCCACTGTGCGAGCTGCTCCGGTTTTTCGGCAAGTTCGGACGCGGCGAAGTTCGTGTGGTACGCGGGTCTTCGAACGTCGCAACGCGGGGACTCGCAGAAGTCGGCGGGGTGAGATACCCATTCGCTCCGCCTTGCATGTTCACGGTCGTCGGCTTGATGCTATTCTTAATGGGGCCTCCGCCGGGTTGCGAACGGAGGGATGGATTGGTCGACGGCAGATGTCGCCTGGTGCTGTCCGGTCCCGTGAACTCCTGTTCCAGCGCCGCCACGGCGGATGGGGGAAGAAGAGAGGCGGTGCTGCTCTCGGATGGTGCCTGGAATGTCGAACGAAAGCGAGTACCCGGGCCCGTCTCGGCGCTGGGTTCGGGGGCTGTGAGGGGGTCGACAAGGTAGTTTTGGGCCTGTGGTGGGATAGTCAGCAACCAGAGCTTGCAATGGAACGGGCGAAATGGTTCCATCATGTGAATCGGGACAGAAATGATTGGTGTATCGGAGCGAATAATACATACCCAATCGTTGCTGCCTCCCATCTTTGAACACTGATATCAAGATTCTATTCACCGGACTTAACCCACGAATGGTATACAAGGTCCCAGGATGACACGATAAAAGGAACGATATCCTACAGTATAGTACAGTAAGTATAGTAAAGTAGGTACCTCTAGTACAGTAATACGTGACTTTCCAAGAACGGTAAGAACAATAGGCGGGAAGGAAGAAATGATAGAGCACAGTGTAAGAGTAAATGGGAAGGAGCTATCAATCGCTCACTGGAAATCCGAACCGCAACTGAACTGGCAGGAGCGGCCATGACAGGTTGAGCCAATTCAGTGGAGTCGCATACGTCCTTGTGCTGGCGGTGCTGCTGCTGCTGCATCGTACCTGCCAAGCACCACGGCCGATGACATCATTGGCTTGCGCAGCCTGTCCAGCTCTCGTCTGACGTCTCAACTGTCAACTCAACCGAAGCCGATCGGATCATCGTCGTCATCCGTCTCCATATCGGCAATCGGCAGGGTATCCCGTAGCGGGATGACTCTACCCTGTTATCTTTGCTATTTATTAACAATGACCATCGATTATGGCATTGGACCCTGCAGTAGCCAGTAATCCAAAATAGACCTTCTAGACTCTACTCCTGCAGCTCTCATAGCTATTAGCTAGCAGCCATGAGTCTCGTCGCCTATCCGGACTCAGAAGATGATGATCAACCGCCTGCAACCCAGAACATCCCTGAGCAGCGTCGGTCCTTGCCAACGTCGAACGAGTTGAAGCGAAAACGTTCGTATCATAACGACGATGGGACACTCAACGGCAGGGACCAGCCAAACGGCACACTTCCAGCCCTCCCGGCTGCGTTCCACGACCTGTACAGCGCACCGGTCCGCACCTTTCCCACCTCCGACCCCTCCCTTCATGGAGGACGTCAGCGCCAGACGCCGCATGTTGAAGGGAATTGGAACACTCATGTATACCTAGAATGTGCGTGCTCTACTACTTCTCCAGTTTACCCTCACGAGATTGACAGCGTCTAGGGCACCCTGCCCCTGACATCTCGACCACCATCTCCACCCTCGTGTCGTCTATATCTCCCCAACCCAATCCAAAGGACGGCCGAACGTCCACCCTCCACGCCTTCCATGTGACCCCCTTAGGCGCCCCGGAGCCTCTCCACATCTCCCTTTCCGCCCCCTTGACCCTCCGCACCCCGCAGCGCGCCCCCTTCCTCGCCGCCCTGACCGCGCGACTCCAGCGCGCGCAGCTTCGCGCATTCAGGATCCACGTGGTAGACCTGAGATGGGTGGGCAACCGAGAGGGCTCGCGGTGGTTCCTTGCGGCGGGGGTGGCTACTGAAGGCGCAAATGGGAACGGGGAGGCCAAGGACGGGGAAGAGAAGGGGTCTGTTAAACGTTCGAAGCTGAGGGTGGAAAACCACGGGGGTTTGAAGACGCTGCTAGACACGTGTAACGAGGTCGCAAAGGAATGGGGGCTGCCAGAACTTTACGTGGGTGGGAAGAAGCAGCCGGAGATGTCCGCTGATGGTGCTGTGGGCAAGGAACGGGGATGGAAGGAGTCGGGGGATTCGTCTTTTCACATTTCACTGGCGTGGCAGCTGGAGCAGCCGGAGAGTTGGGAGGTGGACTTTGCCTCCGAGGCGGGGAAGGAGGCGTTTGCAGCGCTGCGGAAGACGAGGGTGAAGATCGAGGATGTGAAAATCAAAATCGGGAATGAAGTGCATCGGATCAAGCTCGGTGCGCGGACGGAGATGGGTGGGACATTGTTTGGATGAGCGGCGCAATTGGTCGTGTATCGACCGTCGAGACACCCTTCTAGCGAGCGAACTTTGACTGAACCATCGAATTGTTCTAATGGGGCTTTGATAATATATATCTACAACCATCCCTTGTCCTCCGCCTTTTGTGACCCGAGTCGGCGTCCCATTTCCCCTGAGCGGGTCCAGATTAAGTTGCGACGGACGCTGCGTCACGCACCGAGGATCCAAATGCAGCAACGATCCGGAAAACCCCCAAAACGGCGGAAGTGAACAAAACATGGCGGACCGCCATATTCCGAGCCGACTGAATATGATATCGCGAACTGAGGTGGCTTTTCAAAGGGTCCGATGTCAGTCAGTCCGGGTGAGCGACTCCTCACCCCAACCCGGCCGTGAGGACACACCTGCACTCTTTCGTGCCATCATTCTGAAACCAGCTTTGGTTGCGAAAAAAAATCCACAGACGAAGGTGCGGAAACGCATCGATGTGCAACGGAGCAGAGAGGAGAGAGTAGGGGGCGCGCAAAAATCAGTTTCGGAGATCCATCCGTTTTCCATGCCTCGTGAAATTCATAAGATCGATCCCATCCTCGCAAAAGCGGTTTTCGACCCGTGGTATCGATGAGCTGTGTCGCCATCGATTTTCGCGAGATGTCGTTAATGCTGCGACGGAACGTAGTTTAATGGGCGCCTGATCACCGGAAATTATCAGTACCGCACAAATCATGATTATATGGTCCATGCTGGGGGAGGTCTCACTTGAATAGTAGGATATGCGGCTCCGGCTCATGCACCTCGTAATGCTCCCAGCCCAAACTCTGCGTGATGCCCAGGGCGCGCCATTCCTCCTCCCACAACAGCTTGAGCGTGCCGCGCTGGTCGAAGTAGTCTTTCGGGATGGCCTTCAGCATCTGCTTGGGGAGCTGGACGTGGCGGTATTCGTTCTCGTCGTCGGAGTAGCTGCGCGGGACGGAAACGCCGTCGGTCAGTGGAAGTCACTCGAGGCGGGACGGCGGAACTCACCGGGCGGAATAGTGTATGCTGTCGATGAACTCCTCCAGCTTGGAGCGTTCGGGCTCAGAGAGGGGGCGGGGCCGACGGTTGCGGCGCGAGACGTCGATGCCCAGGTCTACGGCAGCGTTGGTCATGGTGACGGAGTGGGAAGGAGTCGGCGATATGTGAGAATCGACGAGAGCTGGATGAACCAGACGGTTGGAAATGATCTCGATGATCGATGAGTTCGAAGTGTTTTGTTTCGATAGCTCGGTGGATGCGGGTGGTGAAGCTTCGGCGTGGAAAGTTCTCGAGGATGGGTTCGCAGGTTTAAAGTTCTGTGAGGTGGGGATTTGTTTACAGAAACGAGGGGTGTTTTCTGGAAGTCAATTGTGCACCGTCGGCGATGGAGGGGGAGAATTGAACAAAGAGACGGGGGAGTCGGAGATGTTTTTATAGACGAAACGTCCTGTTCACATGCGGTGATGATCTGGTATCTTCAGTTCTTGCGAATGGAGGAATGAGTCAAATGATAGCGGTGACTTGAAGTTGGAAGCCGCGTGCGGTGAAGGTTCGCTCTTTCCATAAAATCATCAACACCGAAATTGCTGCCTTATTAATGCCTGATTGTTGCCCGTTGTTGCCTGGGACCCCACGACCCCTCCCTGGAAAACCCTGGCAACAGATGATCGTCCACCACACACGGATGGGACTCCGTCAGTCCGTAGGCTTTCCGCTGCGCATGTGCTCTGCGACATAAAATTCAAGAATCCAATATCCACATGAGATCAGTGCGTGCTACATGTAATCACCGGTAGTTGCCTGCCCGTACTTGCATATGTTACTTGCACTTTGAAACCAATTCACCAGTACTAGCATGATTCACCAGATGGGATTCACCAGACCCCACCACCCTTTGAGTTCCAGAAGCCTACACAATTCATGAGGGCCAGAGATAGCTCATATCATTACATTTGAATTTAATTCTCTGAATTGAGCGGGTATACACAGCCGTCTGATTCACGCGGTCCGACCCCTTGTGGTTATATGTGTCTAATGAGTGTGTCGAGGACGATATCATGTAACGTCAAATAATCGCCCTCTATCCGTCGTCCTTCTGGTATCTGTTCCTTGCAAGCATTTTAAACCAATCCCTCATCATCGTGTCCGCAAAACATGTAGTCTCCTCCCGACAGGATGCGCGGCGAGACAACGCTCACGCTCCGTAAACAAAAACTCCGGTCATCCAATATGTCTCAAGGAAAGTCATGAAGCGGATGAAAGCGTCATGGACGGCCGTGAGGAGAGGATGGCTCGTGGGAGCGCATTTCTCAGCGGGCCATCGATAAGTCGCAGCTTTCGCGGGGAATTATTTTTGCTTTCAAGACATGGTATCCAACCATGCCTTCACATGCCGTCTATATCCAACGGCCTCACCAGACCTTGACCGACTCAGATCCATGCGCCCCCAGCAGCCACCTGCCGAGGCGTGGTAGGGAACGCGGCAACAAACAACGGCCGGATCTCGAACCGGTATTCCTCCGCACAGAACCGCTTCAACCCCCTCCGTCGCATCACCGCCAGATCCTCATCCCACTCCGCCGACCGCATAGCGTCCCCGAATTCCTCCGCCACCTCGCTCAACTTCTCCAGCTCTTTTCCGAACGGGTGGCTCGCGTCCACGGCCGCGCGGTTGAACATGTCCAAACTCGAGCGCTGCTCGCGGGGCGCCATAGGTTGAGGGACCGCCGGGGTCGCCGAGCCAGCGCTCGCGATGCTGTTGATGCTGCCGATGCTGCCGTGGGCGCGGACATGTTGCAGCGAACGTTGTCGGGCGAGGCGTTCGTGCGCTCGCTTGCTGTGCGACGCGGCACGCTCAGGAACGGAGGGCGTGTCGGCGTGGAGAGAAGCTTGCGTCTGGCGCGAAGACGGGGGTCGAAGGTTGCTTGATGATGCGGAACGGCGGGGACCAGCCTGTCCCGAATTGCTGGCGGATTTGAAGTACTCGGAGAGGTGGTTGGGTTGCGGAGAACTGGGTGAGGAGCCGACGGATGAGGCGTCGGTCAGGGTTTCTCTTGAGCGGACGGATCGTGTGGATGTGGAGCGGCTGTCCGACTCATCGGAACTTTGCACGGAGGCGGTTGAGGCGGAGGAAGAATTGGAGATGTTGCGGGTCTGCGTCTTGAGGGTTTGAATGTCGGGTGCGTTGTAAGCAAGCGTGTTCGTTGTCGAGAGCAGCGCGACGGGCGCGGAGATCTTGTTTCGGTCGAATCCTTTGGAACGCATGTTGAATGCTCGCGACGGCGATGGCGGCGGTTCAGAGCCGGATGGCTTCTTGCGATGTGTGGTGAAGGCTCTTGCAAGAGACATGTTGGCGATGTGATTGCGATCAACCAAGAGGGACAACACGCGGACGCCGAGATCCGGGGCTCGAAATGAAAGTGACGACGGTTTATACGTCAATGCTCTGGATAAAGCTTGACGTTCTCGTGGTTCGAGGGATCGCAAGGTCGGACCAGGGTTGAACCAGGAAGCAATATCTGAGGTAGATTGCTTGTTTGATACAATTGGACAACGGTAAGAGCAGCACTCAAATAAATTGCACGCCCTCTTCGGAGTGAATATGGAGGCCTTGGGCTAGAGTCCAAGTTTGACACTCGTGACCTTTTAGACGGTCAATAAGTCACATACACCTAGGTCAAATTGGTTGTGACTGTTGGGGCTCTCTGCGCTGGGCACTATCCGGTTGCCTTCGGAGGATCACGATGACAGGGGTTTCCGCTTTGCGATGCGGAAGTACAGTTCGCGATTTCGGTTTTCGGATTTCGAGGGGCAAATCAATCGGACCACGTTTATGAATCCGAAAGAAAGCGATGTTTATCAAACGAGACAGTCGAGTCTCTGCTTTGTTGATCCGTCGTGGGGATGAGTACAAAGTACAAACGTTATGCCGTGACCAAATGCAAGGCGGAGGGAACGGGGGTTGACGAGTCAACCGAAGGAAAGTCGATGGGTTAATTTGTGTCAAACAAAGGAGGGTAAGGGAGACCAGCTGTCGTAATGAGCGAACAACCAGGTCGCAAAGTATAATGGAAAAAAAGGCAAGTTTATCGACTGATGCGCCGAAGCCCGCGAAAGTCCAACAAAGAATGAACAGTGGTATGGAATAGAAAGAGAGAAAGTTTCACGTTGGAGAAGGGGAGCAGACCAGACTGGAGGGTCAGCAGGCAGGAGACTGGAGAGAGGACGGGCTACGGAGGCGTGGAGGATCAACCAGCGCGAAAAAGGTGGGATGGATTGCTGGGAGGCAACGGATTCAACCAATAGCGCCACGATACTATCCCTTCCCTGGCTTCTGATGCCGGACACTCTGATACAAACGACGATCGCTTTCACGCAACACGCCAATCCCCCCAAAATGCTCCCCAACGGCCAACATGCCATGTATGAGTCCATAATTCATGATTAGCTGCCGGGCAAATCGAGTGAGCGACAAAGCGATTATATTAGCGTAAACGCAAAGCGGACATGCCTTCAACCTTCATAAATGGTTGAAGTCCTCGATATCAGCACTTTCAGGAACAGTCGGACTGTGGGACGGCAGTCCTCACCCATCTGATGATGCGCATGTGCATGACCCAGGCCAACGTTGGCAGGACACATGTCTCGTGCATAATTATTGCAGCCCAGGCAGGTAGTGTGAACTGTGAAGGCTGTATTCAAGGCGATGCAGTAATTACAGTGTGTAACAGGACGGAATCGACATCGCCCGCCCCGACATCCGACAATCCGATTGGGGCGATGGGTGAATTCACCATGGACCACATGTGAGCTGTGTGCCATGTATCCAAGGGTTTTGTGCGGGGGCAAACGCTAATATGAAATACTGTACCATGAGTCCGTGACTCGTGAGCGCAACTAAGGGAGAAAGTCAAAGACTGGACGGGTCAGTGGTTTCAAGCCGGTGTCCACGCGAAAGGTCCCAGCCACTAGGAACGGTCCTCGCCTCCTGCCAGGAACACTTTTACTCTGGGGTCTGGGACCCGCTCGACTCCGTCCGTGCGCATCGACAAGCCTTAAAATGCCTTTTCATTCGCCACGATGAAGACAGGGATCTGCCTGGGACCCCGGTTAACCGCCGTCCCCGTCCGCACCAGACAGAAAACGGCAAGAGCCATCGGGCCGCCGGAGAAACGTCGTTTCATCTTGATGCCTGGGGATTCCTTCCAGCTTCCTTCCTTCCTGGTGCGGTTGGTGGGAGTCAAGGGTCCTGGTATATCGTGTCAACTTTGTAGATGGAACTGAAATTCATGTTGAATAAACGATAAATATTATGACACCCTCCTCGATTTTTCTTGCTGTGTCCTTGATTTTCAAGATGGTTCCTGCATTGGACTGCATTCAGAAACAGGGAGGCTTCTTGGGATCCACATGCCTTTCTTTGTCCAATGATTGCATGCATCCTCCCTCCTGTCACTCTGTCGTGTCCACAATCCACATTGTTTGCTGTATGTATGTGGTAGACACTGCAGGAACTGATTTGGCAGCAGTAGTACATGACTTCACAAACCTCAATGCTTCCCCAACTTGCAAGACGAAGCAGGCTGGCTGTCATATGCTGTGCCGCCGGGGCTCATTTCGGTCGATGTGTATCATTAAATACGGTAGGCACCGAGATATACCAGACCTACATATGAAACTTCTTTTTCGCCTTTTTTGTTTCTGAAAACATCATTGTCAATTCAGTGATTTCAGTCTGCAGTTAGCCCCGTGATGTCCGCGATGAATCTATGACGTGGCATCCTCTTATCGTCCTTGTCATGAACCAGATCCTCCAATCTCCTCGTTTCCAAATTTGCGAGTCCATAGCAATCTTACTCTGCCCAGTCGCCAGCAACAGTGTTCCACATGTTCGCGTTCTGGTGACACAACATGGTGACAGCCTCAATGTTGTGTTTCCTTTTTCTGCTCAATGCAGGACAATGAGTATCTATTGCTTTCGTACGACAATACCAGGCCAGGACCCAGGAGCAATTACTCTCATCCCGCCCCTTGGAGAGGAGAGGCTCCTAAACTCGCAATTTACATATAGGACCTGAAAACAGGAAATGACCTAATCTCCGCTCACCTCTCCCATGCACAAGGGCAGGGTGATACATACACTGATTTCCAGGACATCGAGAGACGGTAATTTAAGTGCTTCCATTATTATCATCAAGTGACGAACAAACCGGCTTGCCAAATTGCCAATCTTTGAGGCTCAACCCCCACTTGCGCAATACGGATATATTGATGCCGATCTAATTTTAACCTGAAGTGACCCATTCACCTTGACAAACCCAAGGGCCAAGATTATGACGTCCGGAGGGGGAGGGGGGTTCCGTGCACCTGACGACACACATCGACAATTCGACATTGAATAATGTAGCCAAGAGGGTCCGGGATTTGGGCCTCTGGTCTGGTCCATGGCTTCATCGGTGCCGGCGAGACCGAAATGTTGTTACAATATTCACTCCGACATATCCTCGTACCCATCCGATCCGCCGTTAGGATCATCCCTCTCGTCATCGGAGTCCTCCTCATCCACATCATTCCTCCCCACCATCCTCTCCTTAACCTCCTCACTCCCGTCTCCCATACCAGCCACTCTGCCCGCAAAATTCCTCCGCACCGCCGCATTCGTCGACGTATCCCACACCTGCACCGACCCTTTGCTCCCCGCGACCGCCAACCGGAACCCGACCTCCTGATCGGGCGCGAAGCTCGTGACGAACACGCGGCCCACGCCGAGATCCCGCGAGACGACCATGCTCGGCCCGGCCGACGTGACGTTCCAGAGTTTGACCTGCTTGTCGGTGGAGCCGGTGGCGAGGAATCCGGGGATGATGGGGTTGATGTCGAAGGAGGAGACGGAGGAGTCGTGGGCTTGGAGGCTCCAGACGGAGGGGGAGAGCGAGGTGGTTTCGGTTGGGGCGGAGCGGATGTCGTGGTAATGCACCAGGCCGTTTTCAGTGGTGACCTAGTCGGTGTTAGTATACGGGACAGGAGTGGTCAATAGTGGATGCTTACGTAGAAATGGCTGTCGGAGTGCGGGTCCCATCGCACGTTCTCGACGTCGCTTTCCACCTTCCATCGCGGCGCTTTGGCTTCAGGGGCGCGCATGTCGGCCGCGACGACTGTCCGATCGTAGCTCCCGGAAAGCAGCACGGTCGGCTCTTTCGGATGCCATGCCACTGAGCAGACTTTGTCGGTATGGTATGAATACGACTTGGCGCACGTGTTCGTGTTCAGATCCCACAGCTTGATGGTCTGATCTGCGGAGGCGGAGGCGAGTAGATTCGGATGACTGCGATTCGAAGCGAGGGAGAGGACGGCATCGACGTGGTATTCGTCGTTCGACAGCTTGGGTCGCTTCTTCTTCTTCTTCGACGGTTTTGTTGTCTCGTCTTCTTTTCCTTTGCCGAGGACTACGTCCGGGAGCATCGCATCGACTACGTCGAGGTCCCACAGCTCGATATCCGGTCCCATCGTACTCACTGCCACAAAGCTTCGTCCAGCATTCGGGTTCTCAGTTTGGCCGCCAGGCCTGTAGTTGATCCATTCGACCGCCAAGGGGATATCCGGCAGCATGAGGTCGTGGTGGACGTATAGATTGTCCGCCTCGTCTTCGTAGATATACACCTCGAGATGAGCCATATCATCCTCTATTCGTGCCGCTAGCAGGAGATTGTCGCTCGGAAGAATCTGTAACTCCTCCCGCTCATCGTCGTGGTCATCCTCGTCTTTGATGGTGATGTACGGATCCTCCTCGTTCGACTCGTGGAAAGCAAGTGTTTTGACGTTCCCAAACATAGCCATCGTATCGCCTGCTCCGTCTGGTTCGTCATCGTAATGCTCCAAGTTGTACTCCTTGAGGTCATCGTCCCCTTCACTGTGCGATAATTAGTTAGGCTGTTCAGACTGTCGGATCTCAGGCCGCAAATGTACCTTGCTTTTGTCGATGTGCCTGCATCACCCGTCGGCTCCTGATTTTCCACCTCTTCTTCCGCCTCTTCTTCATTTGCATCCCCAGCTTTGGCCTCCTCTAAATCGTCCCGCGCATCCTGCAGACGGAGATCCGCAAGCTCTCCGATGCGGTCGTACTCCTCCTCCGAGATTTCGAACTTCTGCGGGAATTGGGCGGCTCTTCCTCGCGGAACCCACGTCGCCGCAGTGATCATAGACATTTTCTCGGATTTGCAGAGACTGTTACCTCTCTACTTCTTCTCTGAAATTCTCGCGGTCAGGAAATTTTAAGATAAAAAGATATCAGAGTCGAAGTGCACAGACCAGTTCGAAATGTGCGGCGAACCCTGACGATTTGGTGTGGCGCTGTGGCTGACCTTATACCAGATTCGAGATCTGATCAGCGACAACGAACCTCCAACCTCCAACCTCCAGGTTCTATTCTGTACGTTGAAGGCAAAATTCACATTCACAATCCCATACATTACAACGATAGCGTGCGATCAGAATTCTTTGCATCCTCTACCATGAGTAGCCGTGGACAGAGCCCCAAGCGGCGCAGATTGAATTCCCCTCCCCCTTCACATCGAGACGACGATGAGCTCCGCCCGTCTCTCGCAGCACGGTTTCGCAAGCGTGAAAGCAGGCCATCATCCCGTTCACGCACCCCCCAACCTTCCCGCCATGGTAGCGCAACTCCTCGCCAGTCCGAATTCGACGGCCCGGAACCGTACATTGCGGAAGAAGAAACCAACGCGCTCGACCGCGACTGGTATGGCGGTGAAGAGAACGGCCATGCTCTTGGCGACGAGACGCATAACCCGTTTGGAGCAGCCGACAGCACATGGAAGGAGCAGCAGCGCGAGGCTGCTTTGGTGGAACGCAAGCAGAACACCCGGCTAAATGCCAGACAGGTGCAGCGGAACAAGGACAACGATGCGTGGGAGGCGAATCGAATGTTGACGAGCGGAGTCGCGCAACGAAGGCATTTCGATCACGACTTTGAGGAAGATGACGAAGGAACGCGGGTACACATCCTAGTACATGATCTGCGCCCACCGTTTCTCGATGGTCGGACGGTGTTCACGAAGCAGCTGGACCCCGTGCCAGCAATCCGAGACCCGCAGAGTGACATGGCGGTCTTCAGTCGGAAGGGTAGTCGCGTGGTCAAAGAGCGGAGGCAACAAAAAGAACGGCAGAAGCAGGCCCAAGAGGCGACCAATGTGAAGGGCACGGCGCTCGGGAACCTGATGGGCGTCAAAGACGACGAAGGCGACAGTGCCGCTGCCGTCCCAGGCGAGGACGCGGAAAAGAACGGAGGGAGCAAATTTGCCGAGCATTTGAAGCAAAGCGAAGGACAGAGCACGTTCAGTCGGAGTAAGACGCTCCAAGAACAGCGGCAGTACCTGCCTGCCTTTGCGGTTCGAGAAGAGCTATTGAGAGTGGTCCGGGACAATCAGGTTATCATCGTGGTCGGCCAGACCGGCTCAGGCAAAACGACGCAATTGACGCAATTTCTCCACGAAGACGGATACGGCAAGTTTGGCATGATTGGATGCACCCAACCACGGCGTGTTGCAGCCATGAGCGTGGCTAAACGTGTGAGTGAAGAGATGGATGTCAAATTGGGCGGTTTAGTGGGCTACGCTATCCGATTCGAGGACTGTACGAGCAAGAACACAGTTATTAAGTACATGACAGACGGCGTCTTGCTACGGGAGTCGCTAGTCGAGGCCGATTTGGATAGGTATTCGGTCATTATCATGGACGAAGCCCATGAGCGTGCGCTGAATACTGACGTCTTAATGGGGCTTATTAAGAAGGTCTTAGCTCGGCGAAGAGACCTGAAATTGATCGTGACGTCGGCAACTATGAATGCGGAGCGATTTTCTCGATTTTTCGGAGGCGCCCCCGAGTTCTTCATCCCCGGACGAACGTTCCCTGTCGACGTGCAGTATTCTCGATCCCCATGCGAAGACTACGTGGACAGCGCTGTCAAACAAGTACTGGCAATCCATGTATCCCAGGACGCAGGCGATATCCTTGTCTTCATGACTGGCCAGGAGGACATCGAGATCACCTGTGAACTGATCGGAGAGCGCCTCAAGTTGCTCAATAACCCGTCAAAGTTGAGCATTCTCCCTATTTACAGCCAGATGCCAGCCGACTTGCAGGCGAAGATCTTTGACCGGGCAGCACCTGGCGTCCGAAAAGTCATTGTCGCGACCAATATTGCAGAGACAAGTCTGACGGTGGACGGCATTATGTACGTGGTGGACGGTGGGTACTCGAAGCTCAAAGTGTACAACCCAAAGATGGGTATGGATACGCTGCAGATCACGCCTATATCGCAAGCCAATGCACAGCAGCGTTCTGGTCGTGCTGGTCGAACCGGACCGGGAAAATGCTTCCATCTTTATACTGAGCGAGCGTTCAGAGACGAGATGTATATACAAACCATCCCCGAGATCCAGCGGACCAACCTCGCGAATACCGTGCTGTTATTGAAATCTCTCGGAGTGAAAGATCTCCTGGAGTTCGATTTCATGGATCCACCGCCTCAGGATACGATCACGACATCGCTCTTCGACCTTTGGGCTCTTGGAGCAATCGACAACCTCGGAGAGCTAACTGAGCTTGGCCGAAAAATGACCGCCTTTCCTATGGACCCGTCCCTAGCAAAACTCATCATCACTGCTCGGGAGTACGGCTGCAGCGAAGAGGTTCTTACCATCGTTTCCATGCTCTCGGTCCCAAGCGTCTTCTACCGCCCGAAAGAGCGCCAGGAAGAATCCGACGCCGCCCGGGAGAAGTTTTTCGTCCCGGAATCCGACCACCTGACGCTCTTGCACGTCTATAGCCAATGGCGAATGAATGGCTATTCGGACGGATGGTGCATCAAGCACTTCTTACATCCCAAAGCGCTGCGTCGCGCCAAAGAGATCCGCCAGCAGATCCAAGACATCATGCAGCTGCAGAAAATGGAACTCGTCAGCTGCGGGACGGACTGGGATATCATCCGCAAGTGCATTTGCTCAGGCTACTACCACCAGGCCGCCAAAGTCAAAGGCATCGGCGAGTATGTCAATCTTCGCACCAGCATCACCGTCCAACTGCACCCGACTAGCGCCCTGTACGGTCTCGGCTACCTCCCCGACTACGTCATCTACCACGAGCTGATCCTCACGTCGAAGGAGTACATGTCCTGCGTCACGGCGGTGGATCCGCATTGGCTAGCCGACCTCGGTGGCGTGTTTTACTCCATCAAAGAGAAAGGGTACTCCGCGCGGGATAAGCGGGTGACGGAGATGGAGTTCAACCGAAAGGCGGAGTTGGAGGCAAAGATGGCGGAAGACCGGGAACGGGAGGAGAAGAAGATACAAGAAGAAATGAATAGAAGCAAAGCGGCCGTGAAGAAGTCGATGGCTGTGGAGACGAAAGTCAGTGTGCAGGCCGGCGGAGTAGTGAGGAAACCAGTGAGGTCAAAGTTTGGGAGAGGCTTCTAACACAATGTCAAGCGGTTAGATGATATTTATACCCAACCATATGCACCCGCTCCTGCGCTTAATATTGCGGATATCTTGCCTACAAGCCGCTTCATACAGGAGTGTGATTTGGAATATTTTACTCCTCCAACTCTGCTCTTCTCCAACGGTTTCTTACAGAACTTTCTAGACCTTACACGATACCGCTAGGGGTGCTTTGTGATGTGGAATGCGTCACACAAGATAGGAATGGATTAAGGCTGTGAACAGAAGACCTTGGCTTTTGAATTCTGTGTGTGATCCTCTCCCATCTGTGTGATAATATGAACAGTAGACAAGATTTCAACGCTATGGATGTCCAGCCGCTTAATATCGTACATGAATTGCAGCTGAAGGCGATAAGAAGGGGGGAAAAGGTCATGATCATCGTGTGTTTGTGGTTCATGTGTATTCCAGACACGAAACCCCAACATCTGGGCTCGGGTAACGGACCGCACATTTAGGCTTCGCCCATGCCCAAGATACCCCAGAACTTCTCTGCACCGTAGGAACCCGAGAAGTCCCTCTTCCAAGCATCATCGTGGGACGAAAACAACACGATGTCCGTCTGGAACGTACTCTTCAGAGACCGGATGGCTTTGCCTTGTTCCTCAGGGGAAGGAATAGCCAGTCCATTCGCGGTGCCGCTATGGGGCCAACCCGATTCCATCACAATGACCTGCTTGCCGCCACAGTGCTTCTTAATTCGGTTCACGGCGTTCTGGACGGCCTGTCCTGCATTCTCCGCCGACGAATTCGGATCGAAAAACGCGTGCGCATTAAGGGCAACAAAGTCACTTTGGAGGCAGGTGTCAATACCACCCGGGACAGCGAATCCGGCTTCGTTCTCAACATGTGCAACCGGTCCAGTGTACCCGGCTGCGCGTAACACGCCTCGGGCAGCACTCAGGCGATCGATGACTTTACCAGGAGCGGATGCATGGTCCCCACGGACATGGTCTTCATTGCCAATGGTGACCGCCATGATTTGGCTCCATCCTTGCTTCGACCCCGTCACAGTGCTGGTGATCCTCCTAAGGTCCTCGTTAAATCCCTCGTCAAGGTTCCAGACGCCGAGAATGAGCTTGCGATCCCACCCGGCCTCGAGAATCTTTGCGATTTGCTGGCACTCGGTGCTGTACAGACGGATATAGCTGAAATGTCGGAGCTCGGCCACCTCGGCGTTGATTTGTTCTTGAGTCTTGCATGTTGCAGCGCCTTCTGTCCCAACCCAAGGGTTCCAACTGATGCCACGACCAGATGAGATTAGCCCGTCCCCAGCAGGAACGGCAGCGGCAGCTGGCGCAGGCGCAGGAGATGGTTCCGGAGAAGGTGCCGGTTTCGGTGAAGGAACAGGCACAGCAACATTGACTGCAGTCTCGACTGCGACCACTGATGTGATCGTAGGATCGGGTGCAACATTAACAGCAGCATCGGCAAGTTCGGGGTTGAGGGCCTCGTTCATCTCGGGCACGACTGGGAAATGGGTTGCCAGAACATTCCCGAATTGATCGTGAATAACAGTGACCTTCTCGGCAGCCGTTGAAGTTACCACGTCCAATATCGTGACAGTGTCACGCTTGTCGTGTATCTTCCTATGGACTAATTGGCATTAGCAAAGGTTGATATGCGCAAAGGGCATATCAACTTACCGCCATGATGATTCTGGCCGATAGCCAGAGCCGAAGTCACTGTAATGAGTGTGGATGCCCCAGCGAGGAGGTTGGAAGGCTTCATCTTAGAAGCTGCTAGCGAGTGACGGTAGGAAAAGCTAAATGACTGATATGGTAGACACCGTGACTATCGCCCCCCAGTGTTAGTTTGCTTCTACAACAGAGTGTTGGCCACAAATGAGAGTGGGTTACGGTGACTGGACGGCGCCGAAGGCTAGTTGGGCGCACAGCGGAGAAAGGCGCTGCTATGTGCTGCGGCGGTGTAGTAAGTCAACCAGACGATCAGAAGATCACGAGGTTGACAAAAGGGGGGGATACAATAAGACAGGAAGGTGAAAGCCCAGTCTACATGTCCATGCCACACTGGCAGCTAATAATCTCGATACTCTGCGATAGAGAATATTGGAGACTCGCAGTTGAATTGAGACTCTGAAGCAGTGCTTTGGATGATAAAGATTTAAGGTGTATAGAGGGGAGGAGGTAAAGGATAACAGCAAAGGTTCTAGAACCAGAAGCACCGAAACTGGCCAATGAAGGAATACAAACATACTGGTGATAAAGACCGTGGCGTCAACGACGAATTCGATCGGATCTGCAATGCCAGATGTCAATTAGTGAAGGCGTGGATGCGGAGAAATGAGCATTGGGTTGTTGTGGAGACTGGAGAATTGAGGATGGAATGTGGACGAGGATGGATGCAGATAATAAGAAGGACTTCACTGATTCATACCTCTCAACCGTTTCTCGGAATCAACAGCCAGTAGAGTAGAACTTGGCGTGCTACTGGCTGATAGACACAAGATTGTCCACTGAAATGCCCTCCTTGACAGATTCACTGCAGGATAAAGCGAGAGAATGAATGTGGTGACGATGCGGAGGAAGAGGACGTCGCAACTTGCAAGTAAGAGCAGAACACTGGAGTTAAGGCTCACTGCAGGACGGCATACAAGGAGGACCCGACCTGTCCGGCTGATCGAGTGGCGGCGCCTCCATGCGCGACTGTCCTTGGTGCAGCAGCTCGGAATAATGTATCAGGTTTGCGAGACGTGGATCCTTAGCAGACATCGCCTTGTCTTCGTGCCTGTCCCTGAATATCGGTTGATTACAGGTAGGGATGATGGTTGATGCGGTACTCGCACCCGAGACAAACCCTGCATTGCATATTCTTGTCCGGATAGGAAATAGGGCAGACTCCAATGGCTAAACGAGGCTTTCTTAAATCCTGTTAATTAAAGGTTAGTTGAGATATTGCAATGCTACATGCATGTACACGTACTGATGTCTTGCCACTGGTGGACGCGTCTGGGTTCTTGGATACTCCGATACTCCGTATGTTTCATCCACAAGCATACCATACCTACCAGAACCGACTCCTTTCTCCCTGACCATGTAGTTAGCACGTGTACAAAATACATTCGAACTTTAAATAAAGTACCATCTAATACATAGTAGGTAGGCCAAGGCCTAAAGAAAGAACTCGAGAGCAATATATGGAGACAGGGCATACGGACTAGGGGTGCAATATATCTGAGAGAGCCTCAAATTGCAGTCGCCGTCAGCCGAGCCAAACTCATCAAATCAAACCTACAAGTGCAAACCTCGCCCCATCAATTTGGCTGGTTCAGGCGTTCATCCGGTTCGAAATCTGGTATATTTCGCCGGCAAGACACATAGTCCATCGGACTCTGACAAGTAATACCCAGCTTGGGGAGGTGTGAGGACCCACCCGGCCTGGGCCTGTCAGTGGCTGTCGTGACCAGCTGGAGCCAACCGTGGTCTTTCTAATTAGACGATGGACAACTGTTGTCTCGATCGACTAAAGCGATGACAGCACTGAGATGGAAAGGATAGCTTCATGATACTGCAAGACGGCCCCATTCCCGACCATGTCCCCAATGGTAAGACCATGGATCGGCCAGCGGGAATCGTGGCATGCAATGCAAGCATCATCCATCAAACTGTGCGAGACAAGAATAGAGCTCTCCATCATCGAACGATGAACTTCGCCATCCCGGTCATTATGTGGGATCGGGAAGCCAGGCAGGTAGTTGGAGCAAGAAATTCGGTTCCGGAGAAACACATTCAGATATGCGACCGCATTTGTTGACGCTCTCCGGTTTTCACCATGATCAGCTTCTTGGCGTCCAGTGGTGACAACCATGCCAGCCACGTCGACTTTTGCTAGACCAAATGATGCGTTTTCAAGAAGCCATCACAGGAATTACCTTTGGAAGACGTCAGTCGGTGATGTGTCTCGGAACAGCATGAACCTTAAGGTCGTGAAACGTCCTTAAATTTCGACGTATCACCAGTTCACCACCGCGGAGATGCCAGGCGGCAATGGATAAACTTCGGAAAGGTGGAGCTGAAGGACATCAGCCAACTGCCCCCTATTATTGAATTCTGAGAGAATAAGTGAATATAATGTGTACGTACGTAGGTATTGGATCAAGCAATGGTTAATTGTGTGTTATTGGATAGTCATGAGCGATTGTTAGTGCGAGGTGGTCGATTGGCTCGCGGTGATCAAGCTTGACGATATCTCAGGGGTGGTGTAAGGAAGGTTTCTTTCATGTTGAAATAGGCAACGGACGTATCAAAATGGTCCAGTGTTTTGACGCCCAACTACGATATGTGTACGCTATAGGTGCTTAATAAACAATGTAAAGTACCCATACTATCCATAGGTCTTCGTCCCAACTTCCGTGATCTTTGGCCCATTGGCCGCAATCAAACCTTTCAGTGTATCCTGGACCACTCTCCTCTTTCTCATCAGACCCTCAACTCGCTTGACGTCTTCTCGCGTGACATCCTGAACCAGCGACTCGTTCCCATAACTCCTCCCGTAGTCCAACTTGAACGTCCGTCCCCTCACACTGCTCCTCACACTCCCCATGCTCCGTAGGCTCCGCACACTGCTCGTCATTGCCCCGTCGTCTATCCGACTTCTTGGCGTGATGAACGGCGTGCCTCTCTCGCTCGGCTCGTCCCTCCCTCGCACAGGCGTGCTATAGCCGTCCCTCTCACCCAGCCCGCCAGTACTCCGATCCAGCCGTGACCCATCTCGGAGCCGCAGTTTCTTGACCTCCACCTCCAACACATCCAAATCAGCCACCCGCTCCTCCCACAACCGCATCATCTTCTCCACCGTCTTCGCCACCGCTTCCACCGTCGGCACGCTCTTCCCGCCTGCCCGCGCCTCCGCCTGCGCGATGCGCGCGCGCAGCACCGCGATGCCATCTTCCGCCTCCACGACCTTCCGCTGGAGCCCGCCGAACTTCGCCCGCAGGTCCGCCTGCGCGGCCGCCTGGTGCAGCTCGAGCGGGGCGGATTTCCGCGCTTCCTTCGCTGCGGGGTCGCGCGCCGACTCGATCACCGACCGGAGCCCTGTGACGGCGTGGCGCAGCTTGACGACGTCGCGTTTCATCTGCACAGCCTTGCGCACCTTCTCTCTGGGGTCGGTCACGCGGCCTTCGTCCAGTTGCTGCTCCATAGAGTTGAGGAGCATGTTCAGATCCTCCACCTCGCTGAGAACCCAGACGTCTTGGGGGATGTCGCCCGCGAGGACGGCGTCGAAGTCGGCGTCCACGTCGCGGTCGAGCAGGTCCTCTTTTTCGCGGCCATCGTCAGCGAGGAGCTCCTCGTGGCCACGGATGAATTCGTTGAGCGTGCGGGCGTTGAGACCGAGGGTGTCGATCATGGAATTGATGTCCCGGAACAGACGCTCGATCTGCGAGGGAATATCGTCACGTGAGGCGAGAGTTTCCGACGCTCCGACGTAGTCCTTGCGAGCAGTGAATTTCTCCAGCTTGAGTTTTTGATTCGTCGGTGCCGCCAGCATCCGCTGGGTTTCTTCTGCTTCTTCATCCTGCAGGCTGGAAATAGGCGGCGTGACGGGTCGACGTTGGAGAGCAGTTGCAGCAAGATCGGGGATCTCCTGGGGTTCCTGCGCTGCGGTCTGCGTCTGCGATAGCGCTGTCCGGGAGGAAGGCCGAGATGGCTGGCGAACGCCCACTGAAATGGGACGGGATACCGGAGTTGAGGCCGAGCGGACAGGGCTCGGTGAGCGAGGTGAGCGTTGACCCGCTTTATATGGCGGCAAAAATGTTGGTCCTTTCGGAAGGCCGGCGGGTGTTGTGGAGGATATATGCTGGTCACCAGGCGGCGGGGGACTCGGGGCTGTTGGCATTAGGAATGATTTGGCTGGTGTGGGCTGCAGGAGCTGCGGTTGTTCGTAGGGTATTATGTTCGGAATTTTCGACTTCGGATGGTCTCCCTCTTTATCCGCTGTACCATCTTGCGACGAGGTGGGTTTTGCTCCAGGCGGAGCCTGTGAAAACCAACTCGGTCTGGCAACGGTAGTAGGATCTGGTGGAAGCGGCGCGTCGTCTTCGGGGGCCACTTCAGGCTCTTCTTCTAAATCCTCATCATCATTGTCATCCAGTGGCTTTGCTGCGGCCTCCACGACCTCGGTTTGCTGGGCCTTCCCAAAGGGAGAAGTGCTTGGTTGACCTGTAGTCAGACCTGGAGCGGCTTCAGGCAGTTTTGCTGGTTCCTTGTTGATGCTTGGGAACAAAGTGGGCGCGGCAGGCAGTTTGGGCGGCGATGCAGATGTAGTAGAGATATCTGTCGGTTTGAGTCCATCTAATCCAGACTCTTTCTTCAGTGGAGTTTCCGGCACCGGAAGGTTGGGTTGCTTAAGAGCATCTCCAAGAGCATTGCCAAAAGAACTATATGCCGACCCAGCCTTCTGGTCCGTCTTTTCATCACCGGTGCTTTCCTTCTCTTTGTCTGTGCTAGGCTTGAATGTACTTCCCAGAGAGAAGCCAGTCCCCCCAAATGCCCCGCTGGGTTTAAGGGGTTCTTTCGCGGGTTGCGGCGCCGAGTCATCCATTGTATCCTCATCCATGTCCGCGTCTTTCGTTTCAGGGGCTTCGGGTTGCTTTTGACCGAAGACTCCCGACGCTTGAGGGGTGGTAGTGTTCCCAAAAGATGAGGTGCCTATAGTGGATCCACCTGTAGTCGAGTTAATTGACACAGTTGAGGCAAAACTTTGCAGTGGAGGGGTACCAAATGCTGAAGACGGAGTAGCCGTCAAGGCCGATCCAGACCCAAAATCGGAGCCACGAGTTTGATCTTTCGGAAGGGTAGCAAATGGTGATGCTGTGGCCTTGTTCCCGGATGCTGCAAAGGCGCCAAATGGAGCTGGTTTCTCACCACCGGCGGGTTTCGCAGGCTGAGAGGAAGCAGCTCCCCATGGCGATGAACGAGCACCGATGCCTCCGACCGAACCGAAAGAGGTACCGGCAGTATTCGTACTCCCGAGCGGAGCCGGAGAACCAAAGGCAGGCTTTGCGAAGGTGGGAGTTGACCCGAACGATGATTGACCGAAGGCGACACCACCGGTTTGCGGCGCACCAGCAGCAGCGCCGCCCCACACGGACGGTTTCTGGCCCAAAGCAGCTGGCCCACCAAAGGCTGATCCGGCTGGAGTAGAAGTGCCCCAAGCTGATTGCTTCTGGCCGAGAGTAGATGCTCCGCCAAAGGCTGCCCCTCCACCCGGTGAGCCAAAAGCCGGCGCCGCAGGTTTTGTAAAGGTAGAGGCACCAAATGCCAAGCCTTGAGGCTTTACTTGTCCAAATGGACTTGTTGGTTGCTCTGTCTTCTGCGAACTCACCGAACTCTTGAGTGTTCCTGCGGAAGCGAGACCGGGATAAGCCGTCGATTCTCGGATAGAATCATTGTAGATAATCCACCAAGCGGATAGCGACCCTTCGTTATTGAGTATCATCAACGCGGGGACAGGTGTAGGAGATTCTTCAATCTCTTCCTCGGCAGGGATCGGCCGATGTGCTTTCTCTCGACTCGATAGGTCTAGCGACATGCCAATGGGCGAAGTGTCCGACATGTCGTCTACGAATGATATCGGTAGTTGAGCGCGTCTACTGTCATTCGCCATCGAAGTAAACGTGTACTGGTTAGTCACAGCCTCTGGCGACTTCTCGCCCACGACCGGCCCTAGGGGTTTGGCTGACTGCGTGTACAACCCCACGTCTTGCGATGCAGTCGATGAAACGATTATCAAATCTGATAACGCAGGAGGCCATTCTCGGAGCCTTGAAATGAAGTGGTGTGGGGGGGATCGATTCAGGCCGAAGGGTCCACATGGTTCATTCAACTTTTGGAACGCGAAATTCGTCGTGCCTTTTTGTCGTGTGACCAGGTAGGCTGTTGAGTCAGGCGCACGGTCGGCCTCAAACTGTGTGGGAGCGTAAATCATCAAGAAACTGTCATTCGCAAGCCATGATATCTGGGAGACTAGGTCACGTCAGTCATAGGCAACGAGGGTATCAATGAGCAGACTCACCAGCATGGCCACTTTCAAGCTGTGGAGGGCGCGGTATCAGCGCTTTTGGATTGCCGGAAGGGTCCAATTGAACAGCGGTGCCGTCGGCGAGGCCAGCGACAAATTGCTTGCCCTTGTTGCTCCACGATACGCAGCTGACATTCTGATGAAGAACTTGATTCCCGGCCGTCCCATTCACCAGCTGCTTTTCCTGGAGATCGGCTAAGAGAACCTGTGCACCGGTAAGCACGACCGCGAAATATTTCTCCAGTTCCGGTGCAGGGTTGGGCAGCAGCGCGCGAACCGCCACGCCGTTCGTGCTGATCTGGAAAGCGGGCTCCTTGTTGCCCCCGGAGAGCGAGTCGACGTTATAGATGGCTAATCCTCCGCCGTCCTCGGCACATATGACCAGGAATGAGCCGTTCGCGGAGAACGCAACGTGGGAGATACGCGGGACAGGTAAGGTGGCTTGTGGCTGGAACGGTTTGACTTGCTTCACACCCTGTACTTCTGCCGTGAATGCGTTTCGGACAGTTTCTGTCGACGATATTATTAGCGCTTCGGGGCTTGCTGCGGCGAGGAGCCCTTTCGCGGCGGATATGCTGAGTAGAGAGGAGGTCGGTGGAGGTAATTTGTCGGCGGGCCATGGCGTTGGGAGGAGTTTGATCTTGGTTTCGCCATTTAAGGCCTGGAATCCGAGGTTCTGTATCATGAGGTCAGTGGATGATTCCAATCCAAACTCATCACCGAGTAACGTACATCCGTAGTCACTTCATCAAGGTCCGGTCCTCCATTAGCTTGCGGAGCAGGCAAGCCTCCACCCAAAGCTGCTGCCGCCATGCTGAATGCTAGTTTTGCCCTGATATAACCAGGACCAAGCTCTTTCGACGGGGTAGTCCGCTGCTGGGTGCTGTCCGAATTATTTTCGTCTTTCGAACTGGAATGCGACGGAGTAGGAGACGCGTGACCGTCGCGATGGTAGTCGGAGTGGAAGCTATCAGAGGAGCGATGGAACGAATGAGAGGGCAGCCGGTTCGGGCTGGGGCGGAAGAATTGCAAGTTTCGTTGGAAAATCGTGCGGAGTGAATGTACACGGCGAGCACTCTGGTGAAGAGCACAGGACCGTAGTAGTAGTGCAGATGCAGCTATCAACTACATGACAACGCTGATCAGAATGTCGAAGTTCTCATGTTTCTGAGTTCACGAAGGCGCGTCGGCGGCAAATGCCGGGGTGGCGTCTATTATCCCATGGTGAATGGTCCAATTGCCGCCACGTGCAAATTTCCCGCCAGGTTAGCCGCGACACGACAGGGCTCCTCTGCCTGAGTGTCTGCCTGAGTGTCTGCCTGAGTGCCTGAGCTCCAGAGCTGGAGCTCCTTCCTCAACTTGTCCAGGCGGCCTTGAGCTTCATCATCTCCTGCAACTGAAGCAACTGGCTAAACAGCAAGAGACAATATAGCCAACACTCCATCACCAACTCTTACCGTACTCACTCATTACTCTTATACCTCTACAAACTCTGCCTTCGGCTACCTTTCGTCCCTTCGACTTTCCGCGTCGCTTCCTCCCCGGCTCCCTACACATACCCATCTCGCATCTCGCCCGTCACCATGCCTGGCTTCGATTTCTCCAACCATAACCGCAATACCGCGTTGCACGCCCAAGGCGTCCCTCTCCCCAAAGCCACTTCCACTGGTACCACCATCGTAGGATGTCTCTTCGATGGCGGAGTCGTCATCGCCGCCGACACGCGAGCCACCAGCGGTCCCATCGTCGCGGACAAGGCAAGCTTCCCTCCCTCCCTCCATCTCGCTCCTCCACTAACTCAGCCCTCCTCCAGAACTGCGAAAAGCTCCACTACATCTCCCCGCAGATCTGGTGCGCCGGCGCCGGCACCGCCGCCGACACCGAATTCACCACCGCGCTCATCTCCTCCAACCTCGAGCTGCACGGACTCTTCACCGGCCGCAAACCGCGCGTCGTCACCTGCATGACCCTGCTGAAGCAGCACCTCTTCCGCTACCAGGGCCACATCGGCGCGTATCTCGTCGTCGCCGGCGTCGACCCCACGGGGCCGCACCTCTTCACCGTGCACGCGCACGGCTCCACAGACAAGCTGCCGTACGTGACGATGGGGTCGGGGTCGTTGGCGGCCATGTCGGTGTTTGAGACGAAGTGGGAGAAGGTGATGACGCGGGAGGCGGCGGTGAAGCTGTGTGCGGACGCGATCGAGGCGGGAATCTGGAATGATTTGGGGAGTGGAAGTAATGTGGATGTGTGCGTGATCACAGAGGAGAAGACGACGTTGATGCGGAACTTCCGGACGCCGAATCAGCGGGCGCAGAAGCAGAGGGACTACAAGTTTGCTCAGGGCACGACCGCGGTGTTGAAGGAGAAGGTGATCACGCGAGACGACATCTCAAAGTACGTGACGGTCCACGAGCTGGGCGACGATCAACCGGCCGGAACCGCTGAGAAAATGGATGTCGATTCATGAGCCATCAACGTGTAGATTTAATGCACGCTTGTACATCATTTAATGGTTAGGCCGGACATACACGGAGTTCCATCGGGTCATTGGGCGCATCAATCGAACTTTCTATAATTGACCGGCGCTGGCTGGAGTATCTTGATCCCATCGCTTTTGTTTGGAAATGCTTCCAACCATGCTTAACCTACTCCCAAATACGCCAGCCTTTGTGTAAAACAACAGACCGTACCATCGTTATCCACCACCGGGTAACTCCATGTTGCCAGATACCTACTGGTTTGTCATTGCAGACCCACTTCATTTGCACCGCTTCTCAATGATATTGGCGCCGTGTTCCTCGTATTCCTTCTTCGATATCCACATCTAACGATGTTAGTTCCAACGCACAAAGTGAAAAAGAAGAGTAAACGTACTTGGTGGAACGACCCCAAGCTGGCAAGGATGCTTCCCCCAACCCAGCTCGCATACCGTCTCTCAACCGTGTTAGACGGGGCGAAGATTCTTGTCCTCGGTCCGGGTAGCACGTTGGTGATTTCATGATCGATCCGCTTCGTGAGGCCCACCAACAGCGACGATCCACCCGCAATGACCACATTATTGAGCAACGTCGGGCGGACCTCGACATCGATGGTCTTCATCGCTTGCTCGATCAGACCCGGGATCGTCTGCTCGGGCTTCGGCGCCGGGTTGTCCTTGTCCTACTTGGAGTTAGCAATTGAAATGAACTGGATCAGGCCATCGGCGTACCGTCAGCGCGGCCTTCGCGTCAAAGAGCCCCTCGACAGGCTGATATCGCTCCATCCTGAAGACCTGATTGAATCCGTCGGGGAACTCAAACGGCCGCAACTGAGCCCGCTTCGCAGGATCCATCTGGTCGGCCGGTAGATTGCCCGGGTTCGTGACCCCGGGGAATTTCCCCGGCCCCTCCCAGACCTGGACCACCATTTCCTTGAACTCGGTCAAGACCCGCTCCTCCCCCAGCCGCCGGAAGGACTGCGGGATCTCCGACTCGAACGTCCGCAGCATCGCCTGCGCTTTGGCGCCAGCGTCGACGGGCTTCTTGCTCGCTACCATGAAGTGCGGCGTGATGTTGATGGGCGGTTCGGATTGGCCGAAGAGCAGTCGGCACTGCTGCGACACGAAGTTTCCGGCGAGGGGGGACTTGACGCACCCCTTCTTTAGGAGCATGCCGTCCAGGACGGGGGTGACGGACGTCGTCGACGCGCCGATGTCGATGACTAGGGCGGAGGGTTTGCCGGCGGAAAAGGCGGACAGGACGCCGGTCCGCCCGAGCCAGAACGCCGGCACGCCCCAGTCTTCCATGGCGATTTCGATGCTCTTCTCTCGCTGCTTGGGTGGCGTCCAGCCCGGTTCCGTCATGATCAGGGGATTCTCCGACAACGGCTTCTCTAAATCCTCGACGCCGTCCATGTCCACATCCCCTTCTTCATCTTCCGCGGCGTCGTTGAGTCCGTTCTTGCTGGGGTGCGTCTGCCGCTTGCCCGTGAGACTCGATGTGACCGAGTATTCCCAGAGCTTCGTCGCCGCATCCCAGTCTTGCACCAACCCGTCCGTCGACATGGGATTGCGGATTTCGGGGGGGAATTGGGTGCCGTGGACGGCGTTTTCGCCGAAGAGAAGCCGCTGGCCGCCATCCGCGGCGCCATAGTATGTTGGCACGATCGATTTGGGGGCATCTTCGCCTGCAAACCCGGCGCGTACGGAGGAGTATCCCGGATCCAAGACGATCGCAGATACCTCATCTATTTCCACATCAGTGCGGTTCGAGCCAGCACAGAGACGAACTCACCTCCGCCATATTCGGCCGCATTGGGCCCTGTGAACTGAGACGGAGCCGACATCAGGACTTCGGTAGATTGGCAATTCTAGGTGTCCCGGATAATGGTGCGAGGGATTGCAAGTCAATGGATCTTTTTCTAGTAACCTTTGGTCATTGGGTCCAGGATGTAGAGCTTCAGAATCGCGAAGCTCACATACAGGGTTAGGTTAGCTGTAGACTGTAATTACGGTACATTCACCTCTCCTCTGAATAAACGCGACGGGTCTGCGACCGGGAGTGAATGATAGACGCCCAGTGGCAGGGAAGGTTTCGGTTAATATTCGGAATATTCGGAATGTATGGTGCCGGAGTTTAACCGACATTCACGTGTCTCCCTGCTGACATCACCCCATTACTACAGTCTCAGACAAACAGTCCGTCAAACCCCTGGGCTGTCTTTCATCATTTGCGTTTCCTCAACAGGCTCAACCTGTTGATAATACATGATACATCAGTATTCAGGTTGTTTTCTAGATCCATGCACTCACATAAGCGTTTGATATGAGCTTGCTCGCATTTTTCGCCCGCCTGTACACGCTTGAGACGTTGGACACGAGGTTCGTAGTTCCGTCCACCAACCCCCCTAACACAGATGCTCGCCTCCAGCCTCAACCGTCTGGTTCGAGGCAGAAAGCCAAGTCGCGATTCCACGATGAGGCACAGCCGTCAAAATGGAAGAGTACTGAATTCTACTTCTACTATTTTATCGTCTCCACGGCGGTACTGTTGATGTTTTGGTCGGTGATCGATGTATCAAGAGGTACTGCTATGACCATGCTCTGTCCGAATCTAAAACGAATTGACTAATAATTACTAGAATCGCATCCGAGTTTCTCAAGATATGCCCCACTCCTTTCTAAAGGCTGGATTCCCGGGCGTCGAGTGGTATGGTGACTCTATTTCCTTGAAAGTTCGCCGTAGCCATATGCTCCTGGCTCTGACTGCCATCTAGGACAACTCCGATGGACAGTTCTCTTCCTTCAGGGACAATCTTCCATACTTATTTCTTGTTGCGATTCTTCATCCTCTCCTAAGAAAAGTCTATGAATTGTTTTGGCGGTTGGATTCCTATACTGCACCACCGCCCAACGTCAATCGTTCCCATTCCCAGCTTTCCCAGGGATTGAGCGCACAGGCGGCTGCTGATACTCGATTGGCATACCGCGCTCGATTTGATTTCGCTTTCGCAATTGCCTTCATAGCTGCATTGCACGGCGTCTCTGCGATCAAGGTCTTGATTATTCTGTACATCAATTATGAGTTAGGGAAGAATCTCCCCCGGAAGTACATACCCGCAGCAACATGGATTTTTAACATCGTTATTTTGTTTGCGAACGAGTTCGGGAGAGGCTATCCTCTCGCCAACGTGGCAGCCTTCATATTTCCCCATAAGGGCGCAGGAATGGTCGATAAAGGTGTTCCCGTGGAAAATTGGGGCGTGTTGCTCGACCGATACCAGGGATTGATACCTAGATGGGAGGTTCTTTTCAAGATCACCGTTCTTCGTCTCATTTCATTCAATATGGACTATTATTGGAGCCTTAATCAACGGGGTGGCAGTCCGATTGAGGTACGTCGTGGTCTCTAGACCTATAGCACTGGACTAATTCGCCAAAGAAGAAACAGCTCGACCCCTCTAGTCTCTCTGAACGAGATCGCGTGAGCATTCCAGCCAAGCCCATGGACTTCAACTTTCGCAACTACCTGGCATATACTCTCTACTCTCCCCTTTACCTCGCCGGTCCCATTCTCACATTCAATGATTATGTATCCCAGCTGCGCTACCGAGCAGCTAGTGTAACGCGAGAACGAACCGTGCTCTACGCAATAAGATTCTTTGCTGCACTTCTGGCCATGGAACTCTTCATACATTTCATATACGCCGTCGCCATATTCAAGGCCAAACCAGACTGGAGCGTATATAGTCCATTCCAGTTAAGCATGCTTGGCTTCTTCAACCTTCACCACATCTGGCTGAAGTTGTTACTACCTTGGCGGTTTTTCCGCCTGTGGGGCCTGCTGGATGGAATCGATGCACCCGAGAATATGGTCCGTTGCATGAGCAACAACTACTCTGCCCTTGCCTTTTGGAGAGGGTGGCATCGCAGCTACAATCGGTGGATTGTTAGATACATCTACATTCCCCTCGGCGGCAGTCTCACAACAGGAGTGTGGGGAAAACTCCATGCAGCAGCCAACTTCTTGATGGTCTTCATGTTCGTTGCCATCTGGCACGATATCCAACTCCGGTTGCTGCAATGGGGTTGGCTCGTCTCCTTCTTCGTGATGCCAGAGGTTCTTGCCAGTAAACTGTTTCCAAAACATCAATGGCAGTCGAGGCCAAATGCCTACCGAATAATCTGCGGCATCGGGGCCGTCGGGAACATTATAATGATGATGGTGGCGAACCTCGTCGGTTTTGCCATTGGCTTGGATGGAATCAAAAGTCTTGTACACGGCATCGTTGGCAGTTGGTCGGGCCTTCTCTACGTTGCAGCAGCATCAGGGACACTCTTTGTTGGGGCTCAGATCATGTTCGAGCTCAGGGAAGAGGAGCTAAGACATAGAATCAAGATGAAATGCTGATGTAAGGTTCATTCAGTTTATGAAGACAATATCTGAATGTTGCGGGCGAAAAATGGCTATCTATGCAATTCCGGTCATGTATTCCTGTTTGGCTGCTTATCATGGCTGCGCATACAGTAAGACAATCTCTCCTAGAATGTCCCTTCGATGACCGTCTAGAGTTCGATCTCCTCTCCTAGACTTACTATCGCACTTAGATATGTATTACTCTAATCTCGGTGCCATTGGCACAGTCAGCTTACAATATTCGGGAAGTAGGACATGAAAGAACACGCATCATGAGTTTGTTTCTGTTGAGTCTTTGTTCCTTCATTGTTCAATAACTTCCACTTCAACACACGTTGCAACAAGATCATTATTTCAAATGCTTTGTCCTTGAAGCTCTATGCCATTGTGCTGAGTCTGTCTAAGGCACAATTGTCGAACAATGCTTTTCTATTCCTCAACAGTGACAACATGCAAATTATATATAAGTCAAGGCCAACATCTGGTTTGAGGAAGAACTGGAAACCAACCATCGTCGCTTGATTGGGCAGCCCTACTAAGAGATTTCAAGCTTGTCGGTCTATTGCAACAAGTAAATCTCCCACAATATGCTCAAGAATACGATCTCTAGTCTTTGCAAGGCCGCCGCCCCTCATAATCTTGATGACTCACCTGAAGAGTTGACGATTGGCGTGGAGATTGAGTTGGTTCTCTTGGTCCTGAACAACTCGAAATACAAGCGTCCGAACATTTTCTCCAACGGAGTTTCAGTCGTCTACGCGGCACCCTTCGAGGGATTAATGGAGGTTCGTCATGCCATTCACAGCAACACTGCATTAACCGACGTCCTCGTTGACAGTCGCGAGATTACTAGCAAAGAGATGTACAAGAAGTGGCTCGTGTGTGAAGACAATTCAGTTCACTTGACGGACGACGAGGACAGTCGATTGGAGAGGTCTCTTGCCCACCTCGGGCACTCCGGTTCATACACACCTTTCGGCATTGAACTCAACTCGCCGATCTACAAGCTTTCAGACCAGCAGAAATGGTCATCAGAAATCAAAACAGTGCTCAGGGCTGTTCAGGTACACTTCAACAAGCCCGGGTCGTATTTCCACATCCTGACCAATGGTAATACGGGCTTCCACGTCCACATTGGCACCAAGAAAGGGGGCTTCTCGAAGGGTTCAGTGAAAACCATCGAGGGAATTACCACCGTCTTCGAGCGGTTCATCGATCAGATCCATACCGCCTCTCGGATTTCCCCCCTCCACCATTGGAGCAAGCCAAATACACTTCGATACAACAACAATGCCACCAAGCCGGGAATTCTCAGCGACCCCCTCGCCTGGTGGACGGCGAAAATCGAATCAGTGGAAACCTGGGACGGCCTCAAACGTGCTCTCGACTGCGAAGTTCGGAATTATGCGGTCAACTACAGGAATCTTCGTAAGCTTAGCGAGAGCCGCTACGCGAAGGATACGGTGGAATTCCGACAGCATCGAAGCACCTTCGATGCGGCCGAGATCATCTCTTGGGTTGCGTTCGTTGGCGCAATCGGCAAATATGCCTTGAGGACGCCTCTCGACCAGGTAAAGCGTCTCCTCAAACAATCGCGTAACCCCAAATACTCGTTCGCAGAGCTGGTCTTGGATCTTTCCTGCCCGCCAGTGGTCATCAACACCTACATCTCAAAAATGAACCGTAGGTGGCAACAGTCTACCCCGACAATCGGTAAGTCATCGCTATTCTACTCTCTGGCTGAGTACGTGGCTAGAAGGAATGCGGTAGATGTACACCCAACTGCAGTGGCGGTGGTCATCTGGAAGAAGCTCCACGGTGCCTATCCCCAGACGCGTCACAGCGGCCGCGCCAATGCCGGTGGAGACTTTCACGAGAGCTTCCTGAAAGGTTTTGCGAAAACTAATTGGCACGGTCTCAACCTGAACTCCTACCGCAGCACGCCCGCTTGGGGCCCGACAGAAGATAGTTGGGATGCCACAGAATTGGAGCTCGACGGAATCTACCAGACTTTCAACAGGCTCTTCAAGTAAGTTCCATTTCCTTTCTAATCCCTTTCCGTTCAGATCGATTCCTTCTAGATTGGTTCTTTTCAAGTAGTTCATTTCGAATAAAATCTTTTCTTCTCAAGTCAACAACTTTCATTTTCAACGTTAATAGCCGCCGTGCATCCACCACTGTATCCCATGAAACATGACACTCTTTTTCCTAACAACCGCATAGGCTTTTCCGAACTTCTCAGTCCCTAGGGTGCAAAAGTTGCAATTTCAGTCATCCGTTATTTCCTGCTGAACGCCCCAACCAACCTCGGGATATCGAGCAGCGCGGTCCCAGTCTTCAACCTTCGTAAACGGGCTTCGCAGCCAGCTGCTAAGTTCGTGCAAGAACAGGCGTGAATCGTCTGTGCCTAAGAACTCTGACAATAGCTCCTCAGCAGTTCCCGATGCGCCTTTGATATCCACCGTTCTCAGTATGGAAATGATGTATTCCAAAAGGAATTCTGCATTGGCTGCCCTCCGAGTTGGCGGAGCTGCGCTACTCTGTGGCCCGGAATGGGTAGAGTCGCCGCTCGCGTCCGGGTCCAGCCAGGACCAGACTCGCAACTCACGTCGAATCCACGCCCTCGCTCGTCGCTGCAGATCTGCATCGTGTGAGAATATGGCCGGCGTGATGGTCCGGTACCGAGAAAGGCGGTTACTCCCGACATGAAGCGAGTAAAGGCCATGCCTGTAGACCTCTCTTCGACGCAAAAGGGCAGTATCAGGTGGGGGAGGTGTTGCCCTTGACCCCCATGGACGGACGGCGCGATTTGGTCGTCTCGACGGGCGAGTTATGATGCGGAAGTTCCGGTGCCGGCTCGAAGAGGCAGACTGTCCTTGGATATTTGGGGGGCGAGCATTGGGAGGTCGTACCACGAACGTCTTATAAGTTGAAGGGTCGGTGGGGGAATGGTCATATCGGACTGCGCGAGTAGGCGCTTTGCCTTCAGTAATGTCAGTATATGGTTGGCATTACAAATTCAAGCATAGCATACAAAGAGGACATAGAGCCTGTTCCTGTAACCAACTCACAAGACATATGAAGTCAAATGAGCAGTGCCCACACGGTACCGATTCTGCCCTTTCAGATACGTTATCGAGGCAAATGACGCATGCGTCTGCCGTAGAGGTGGATGTTGTCACATCGAGATTTGGGCTCATCAGTTTCAGATCCTCTTCTAGAGGAGTAGTATTTTAGAAATTGGCCATTTGGTTCTATGACTTTGCTCTCTCGCAGTTTGAGCGGTTGAGATTCGCGATCATCATCATGCTGTGCACATGTGATTCATATCACATGATGGTTGCCTTGTTTACCTCACGTAAAATATTCTTCTTCCTAGCACCACACCAAATTCCATTACAAGGCTCCAAAATAAAAATATCAATTAAACCACACCAAACACCCCACATGGGCCTCGCTGAGAGGCCTGACGGGCGTATGAATCTCTCTCTCACCACACCAAACACCCACATGGGCCTCACTGAGAGGCCTGACGGGCGTATGAATCTCTCTCTCTCATCACACCAAACAAGAAATATCACTCTTCGACTCAGCCATTTGAGAAAGGAGAGTCATCAAGGTTGGGGAGTAGCTTTGTTCATCTGTCATCTAATCATTTGGGTTGTAATTCAGGAATTACCTTCAGCAGGAAAAGAAAGGTAGCCCACTTCAGTGTCCTTGAATGCTTCTAACTTTGGGTATGATCCAAAGATGGAGGTTACTATCTACTAGCGCGCTTCTCTAAGCCATTAACCCATTCATGGAATTCCTTCCACTCCTCATAAAGGAGACCGATTCTCTTACCCTGGTACCTCACTATATCTGCGCCGTTCCCCGCTTCCAGCACTCTTCTCCATTCATCCCGTCGCCCCGTCCACCCGGCTTTCCGCATCAGACTTACCATTGTTTCTTCCTTGGTCCAGCCTTGCTCCTTCGCCACATCGGGAAGGTACGTGGCGCCATATTTGCGGCCGTGCCAGATGAAGGATATCCGTATCCCATGCACGCCAACCTCCCATCCGAGTGGACCAGGTGCAGGCTCGAAGTTGGTCAAGAGGGTAACGCCGCATTCGAGTGTGGGTAGTTCGGAAAGTACGATGGGGTTGAATCGGGTGTCATCGAATGCCCTGTGAGAGTGTCAATAATCTGGTCATCCAATCGAGCATGTTCTCCTTACGAGGTCAGCGCATAGCTCCTCAAGCCATCATCTAGCTCTTGAGGTTCAAATGTCCCTATGCATCCTCGTAAACTCTTGTGCTCGCTCCGTGAGACAGTATTCCACGTCACGAAAAGCGGATGATCGCCCGGGGCCGCTATGGAGTGGGATTGGTCCCTGGAGAGTCTTCGAAGTCGACGTGGTATTGAAAAGAATGAGGACCTTGATGCGGATTTGGACGTAGGTGGGGTAGAGGTGGAGTCGGAGACGCTAGTAGACGGAGTCGTTGAAGAAGTTGTGGAGGGGATCGAGGAAGACGAGGCGGAAGCCGTGGAGGGACTTGGAGCAAGTAATCGGCTTATAGCTTGAGGCTGATGGGAAGCAGGATGGATTAGGTTCCGTATCGGAGCACCGTCCATATCTTCATCCTCGTCCACATCATGGTGGCCGGTCTGTAGGTCATCGACTTGGGAGCCCGTTTCGTACTTGTCCCATAGCTCTTCCACTTCAGCGAGACCAAGGGGTCGCCGCTTCTCAAGGGAGGCTGAGAGACACTCAAAACAATATGCACAGTGGGCCTGAGTTGCCATGGCTCAGTGAGAAACGATGATAAGGCCACGAGAACACTTATACGGCGCTGATTGCGACGTAGACGATATCAGGTATAAACTAGAAGCGGGCAGATGATGTCCAGATTCCACTATATCCTTCCTTCGAGAACGGCAGCCAGCAATCTCCAGTGCGATCTCTCTCGATATCGTGGACGGAGCCTTTGGTCCGCTCTAATCGGCGGCTATGCGAGCACGTGTGAGACCCCGACTGGGCGTTTGGGAAGTGCTACAGCAGAAAGCGGGTCGAAAGAATGCAGCCTGACTTCACAATCAGCAAATTATACGGCCGCTCGTGATTAAGAGGAATAGCACTGCTCGTAGGCGTTCCAAAGACAAAGAGAGGAAAGGCGACGATGTTCCATACAAGACCTAGTGGAGGGGTCCCATCCTCTGGTTCCTCCTCGTAGCGCCGGGCCATAATAAGCTAGATTCCTGCACGACTTAGTAAAGTGAGGTCCAAAGTTAAGACTACATGTGGCAAGTGAAAACTGCATGTGGCACGGGAGGCCTGTATGCCTTGGCGCCTAAGGCATACTCCAGCTCCAGCTCCTAAACACCTAAGGTCACGTGCATCATGTGCTTCATGCTTCGGAACTGAATCTTTACATCTGCCTTTCTCAGACGGGAGACCGAACCCGACACTGATGACTACCGGATCATTCCATATGAACCCCATCTGCAGGTGGATGCAGTATGGTAATGGAGGACAAATGGGTAGAAAGGTTCCTGTCCGCCGTTCTCAATCCCGATCATGACCCATGGTTACTCCTGATACTCCCTCGGTTTCGAGACAGTTACAAACGAGTTTCGCTTTCTCCTGGTTAAAATGAACCTAGTCCGGACTCGGAAAAGGAATAATGGGACCTATCCTCGATTTGGTGTATTCACCAAGCTTCGCAGTGGTTGTCGCCGCCGATTCTATGGTCAAACCAGCTCAACATCATCATCAGGAGGAGGTTACAGTACACGTCCGATATGGGTAGACCATCAATTAAACATCGTCTGCTGCGTGATATCTGCATCTGCGAGCGTCCTTTAGCCTCGAGTTTGCCTGGATGCCATTCTGCGACAGGTTTTGACCCACAGCTTGCCTTCTCGAGGGTGATCGGTAGTCATGCCAGACACGCCTCGACATAGCACGTCTCAGCTGCGAAGGTCTGGTCTCGGATTTCGTTCCTTTCATATCATCAAAACCAAAGTTCCTAAATACACTGGCTCGCCTACACTGAATATTTCCATGTCATTGCATCTGTCAGCTCTCTCTTGATCTTGCTGTCATTCATTCTCCGTCTTCGATTCAACCACTAAGTCGCCGGACGACCAACTGTTTTCACTCTTTATCGTCATTTTTATTCACGGAAGACTTTCAGCGGAACTACAAGACATATACTTAACAAGATGCGGTCTAGCATTCTCATGTCCATCTTTACTCTCCTCGCCTTCGGCTATGCGGCTCCGGTCAGCGATGGTATGAGGACGCATGTACTTAAGCACCAGAACTGGTATTAGCTAACACAATATCGGTAGCTGTATCGGCACGGAGTGATACCCAGCCCGTGAAGTCCACTGTTGACGGTGGCGTTGTTCCCTTCAACAGTAAACGCGCTGTCGAAGATATAGTCGTCCGCGCCCCAAGTGACACTGCGCCGGTCCAGTCGACGCCAGAGGGCGGTGTTGTCCCATTCAATAGCTGATCTCATTGAGGTTTGTGGATACTACACCAGCCGTTGCTACTGTGTCTTACTGACGTGTTCAAGCTTCGCTTCCGCCAATACTGAGTTCCAAGGGACATGGCTTTCATACACTTCGTCGATGTACTGTACATAGGTCACTCTAGTCGCAAGAGCTTCAGAAGTATAGGAATGTATTTGGATGTATCAATTCAATTTGTCTGGAGTTGAGCGGTTGCACAGTTGCCAAGGTTATATTACATATATCTAAGAATGGTATTATACAAGTTCTGACCTACTTAAAGAGGATGATGTAATACTCGCGAGCCTCGGTTTCGGTCATAGGGCTCTACGCAAATGCTAGTTATGTATTGATATTGGTGAAATGACTCCATGTCTAATGAATGACCATGATACAAGATTGCCTCCTTTGAATGTTGCCGGCGCCACTGATTGTTAAGGTAGTAGTCCTCGGCATAGGTCCGATGACGAGGTAGTAAATGTCGTGGCGTTGGCGATCCTTGTTGTCGACGTGGCAGTGTGCCCTAGCTTCAGCGTGATAGAATCCATAGTCAGGCAGATGATATCATGATGCGAACTTACCATTTTTACCTGCACCACTCGTCAGTCGGTGCATCTTGCATGGAGCAGTATTTAGTACTAGTGGATTGTTCCGGAACCTTCTCCCCCAGTGGATGCCCTACAGCTACAGGTTCTTGCAGATAGGCTTCCAGCATCCCCTCGTTTCCGCAGTTTGTGTCTACATGGCATACCTAGGATCCAACCTCCTTCCAGACCTTTTCAATGTCCTGGTTCGATAAATATTCGACAAAGGCGAGCTGAGCACCGCCCGTTCAATGACGCAGTCATACACGCCCATCTGGAAACAATTTAATCGAAAAGGGGGTTATCCAATCATCGTACCCGTAGATAGCAGGAGCTCCTGGGAATAGCACAGTGGTCAGCGGGATGTTCTTGCGCAACCCTAGTTCCGAGCGTTTCAAGTTGCAGATCGCGAAGAAACGTCGGTGGTGGCGAGCGTCGTACGCCCTAACATCCAAAAACAGTAACGTGAAAGAGAAATACCACCAGCAATGACTCCCCATGCGTCAAACAAGGTGATCTCTGACATGGTCGCCAGACATGTACCTATACCATGCTGCCACGTTGATGTACATGTATGGTGGCAGGATAGATCACGATCGTGATCGATACATACTATGTATGTACCTTACATGCGCCGGGTACTGTATGCCTCAACACTACACTATGGACCTGGATGCTGTTGGTGCTCGTACCAGACTGTCGGTATATTCAATAAAATTAAAATATAGAAGAGGGTCCCAGTAAATCCTTCTGTTGTCGTGTAATGGCCTCCGCATGGAAGCGAGCAGTGCAATGTACACGCAAGGAGGGTTGTCCGCATATCACTTCCTACACTGAAAGTAAGGACGATCTCGACCAAATCCCATGGTTTCATTCTTTTTATGGTGGTTTTGCAGCGCTCGTAGAGAAAGGTGGTACAAGGCACGAAGATCCTAACATCTCCAACCTCTCACCGTCCGTTGGACACGCGTTCTCCTGAACATCCCACTCCTCCATGCACATGGTTTCCCCTAGGTCCTGGCAGACTCTCCTGCATCGGCTTCTGCCACAGGGCCCTGAATCTGTCGAATAACCTGCGCGTGGTCTGATCCATGTGCCGTTGGATGCATCACCGTTGTCACTATCAATAAACCTTCGTCAACTCGATATGCTCAGCTACGTCTTCCTGCATCTTCGAGCCCCCCCTCGCTTTCTCCTGGGGCCGTAGCCAATGGTCCCGTATTAACACCCTAAGGGCCGAGCCATCACCTCCCAGGCAGCGTTCCCCAGCGTATCCCGTCAGACTCCTAGATATCAAGTCCGTATCAGCGATTTAACTCGCAGAATCGAACTTGACAGAGACAGCCCTAATGCACACCTCAGGGTGCCATTTCGACGAGAACCCGGTAAGAATCCTCACTGGCCCAAGGCTGCAGGGAACCAGCTTTCCAGTCCACCGGAATGGCCAATGGTTTGTAGAAAGTTGGCACGTCGAGTGAGGTGATCGCAAGGCGTCCAACTTATATCGTAGGTACTGAATGGATCGAACTGTCGGCCGCTGAAACAAAAGGGTGGGGGTGAATTGCGCCCAAGGAGACCCCATCCTCTTCAAACGCGCTGTAAATTATCTTAGGCAGGTTTTGATTACCTTTACATATGAGAGAACAATACTCGTCCCTTGGGCCAATAATTCGCCATATATTTGCTCGGAGACATACAGACTGAAGTCAAAGGGGGGATGACCGCGCTAGCTGTGGCCAGCCACGAGCCAATCCGCGCCAACAAGTTAAAGGAATTCCGAAACTGCGAATAAAGGAGAAAATTCCCTGTCCAGGGTACAGTACGTGGTCCAAAGTGTGCCGCACAGCCCACCTCCTTTCCTACATGGCGCTTGGGAGGCAAAGCGGACGTAGGAAAGCACATTATTGTGTTGATCATGAAGGATCGGGGTATCTCATATATTAGAAATGAATTTCATGGGCAAAGACAGTTCGCGAGATCTAATGGTGACCGGCTGTAGGGTGGCAGAGAATTAATCCCGATAGATAAATCCAAAGCTAACTCCAAGAAACAAAGGAGAGTGAGTGGAAATTCCGTGCCCTCGGCAATAAAATTTTTGCAGGGAATTTATGAAGGAGGAATCATTGCCCGTTATCATTGCTTGGTCGTTGAAAGGAATAAGGACAAAAAGATTTCGGGGTATCATTGAAGTAAATAGTTGATCCAAATTTAGCGTGATCGTTGGCGAAATGGTCAAAGGAGTGCATTGAAGCAACACCTATTTCGCCGATGCAAGTCCGTAAGAAATATTAGAGTTAAGGAACCCTTAGCTAGGGAGGTATTTGTTCGCTTGGGAACCAGTCTTGGTCAAAGAAAGATGCGTCGTAAGGAATGCGATTATTGGGCCGGCAGCTCCATGGAGAAGGATTAGAAAATGAGGCGTAGTTCCCACACGTCCACTCGATTATCTTCAACAATCCCGATGTCACTGTCGAGTTGAATATCGGTATGATCGGGATCCCACTCGCCCTTCGTTCGTGCAGGAGGCGCGGGCAGACTGTCGATACCACGCTCTGGCTTCAGATCAACGAACTCGGCGACCATATCCATGCCTTCCGGCATTTCACGGACCACGTCGTCGTCGATGAGGATGCTGAGTCCTTTCGCGTTGACGCGCAGAGCACGTTGCACCAAGGTTGGATCGATACCGCATTTCGCAGAAATGGTATCGGTCAAGTCTTTCGCGGTTCGAGTCATGAGGTAGATGGCGCGGTAATAGGGGTCGTCAGAGGGTTGGCCGCGCAAGCGTGGAAGAATATAGAAACTTGCAACTATTGCTCTTCACGTTAGACAATGCAAACAAGATGTTTTTTGGTTTTTTTTAAAATAAAAAAATGGGGGGGACTCACTTGGCTTCATCGCCTGTTCGGATGGCGGTTGGTAACTATAGTCCACGCCGATCGCCTCTATCCATCCTGATAAGCTGTGGCCGTCGTCACCGCCAGTACTTTGTTTCGGGACCTTCACAGGACCCTCAGGGACGCTTGACAACTGCCCGGCCATGTTCGCGGTCACCGATTGTCCAGGAAGGTCGCCAGTAGCAGTCTGACCGGTTATGCTGCGCCATTCATTGCTCTCAATTCTGCCCGAGGGATTAAATGGCGCAATCTGCGAGCTTCTTCGACCGCCGCTGTGGATACTGCGCGTACTTGGTGTAGGGCTTACAATGCTGCTCGAGTGACCACTTTGGCGCTCCCAGACGCCAGCGTCCAGGGGACCAGTAGAAGCATCCAATTTTGTTACCAAATCGAACGCCTCAGTACCGGTCAGGTGAACAGGATGGAGGTCCGGATCATCTGGTTCCTCTCCTTTCAAATAAAGGACACTGGCTGGTCGAGTACTGGTAAACATGTCTTGAAGAGTAGCCAGCTTGAGATGAAGGTCCTCCTCAGCGCCTCCTCTTCCACTGCCCTCTCGCTCGCCAGTGCTTGCACTCGACATGCTCCAGGTGCGCTTGTGCTTCGGAACCTTGCCCGGCCGTGAGCTCCCAGCAATCGTCTTCGATTCCAGGCTTGCACGTTTGCGTTTGCCGAAGTCTTTCAAGCCAGATTCGAGGTTGGAAATCTGGGTTTTCAATTTCTCGATCGATTTCCTGACGTGGGCGACGTCATTCGAGAGCTTGCGTTCCGCACCATGGTCACGGAATAGCTTGACTTTGCAATAACATGTTTCGGGTGTTGTGGTAATAGTCTGGTTCGGTGGAATCTGCTCCGGAGAGCCTTGGGGACCCTCGAAGGTCACCAACTCGGTCTTGGTGCAGAGTCGCACTGGGATGCCCTTGACGCCTTTCGAGTGGCTGAAATCGGTGGAGAGAAAGTTGAATCTAACAGCGATGGAGCATTCGCTTGATCCGCCTGGCGGGGGGGACCAGAATACCGCGAACCCATCGAAAGAGGCGCAGTCCACTTCGACCTGTGGTCGTCCGAGCAGCTCGCCGCCACCGATTTGAGATGGATCAACGAATTCGACGGCCTGCAGTCGACCACCACGGTGATGAGCCTCATTTGATCCTCGGCCTTCTTTCCAAAGTTGCCAGCATGCGGTCGGTCGTTGTCGCTGCTGTTCGTCTTCGAATGATATTCTGACGAACGTTCGGTATCGGGGTATAACCCCAGACATGTGTTCTGGTCTGGTATCGACGACCGAGATAGAGTATGCTTGTCCTTTGTTCAGATAAGTGACTGGTATCTCGTCTGCGTGTTTGATCATTGCTGTCGGAGCATTCAAAGTAACGTGATATCGGAAACTGGGCCATGTAAGAATCAAAATCATGAACAAATTTCAAATGGTACGCTTACTTCTCAAGAGCTTGTTGAGGAGCATGGGGCATCAAACTCGTCTGCTCAAAGGTCGCAGGAAAAGATAGCGCCTGGGGGTCTTCGTGCATCTCAACATCGACATGCATGTCGCCTATTGAAGGGTCCTCGTGGCTGGTCTCCAACGGATGGAAGGAAGACTCTGGCTGCTGGAACTGATGTGGAGCAAATGATTCCGGGTGATGAGGGATTGCGAAAGGGTTCGGGTTCTGAAAATGGAGCGGCGCGATGGATGGCTGAAACCCGTGCAACGGGGCTGTAGTGGCCGGTCCACCTTCTGAGGTTACATGTGGTAAAGAGAGCGGAGTCCCCAGCCCCATAGTGAAGCCGGGAGTATGAAGATCTCCAGCTTGACTGTGATAGAAGGTGTTCGTGCCACCAGGCGTCGGGGTATAGTAGCCAGGCGGCTGATTGGCGAAAGAAGTAAAGGTGAAAGAATTGGGATCCATTATCGAGGGTGTAAACCGCCATTGCTCAGGATTTCCTCTCGGGGTAGGATCCTCATCTTTGATATCATGGTCCTCTGGGAAGGGACTATTATGGTAAACGAGCGCCATGTTAGTATAACTCCAAAAGACAGTGACATGTATATATCGGGTTTGATTATTGATACGAAACGATAGTAATGAGGGTTTAAAAAGCGAAGGGGCAAACGGTTCTATTTCTGTGATTGACTGGCATTTGAAAGGGACTGGCAGGGCGGAGTAGATTGAAGGGTGATGTCGAAAAGGGAAATGATGGGCCATGTAAAGGTGCATCCACGCAATTCACTTACCGGGACTGTACAGCGACATCCAGAGCATCGGTTAGCGACGTATGGCCTTGGATAGGAGCGACAGAGGAGCCAGAGGTTGTCGCGAGTTGTGGATAGCTTGACTTGAAACTTGCTATCAACTCCTCGTTGGGTTTCTGGGAGCCAGTCCTGCGAACAAGTCGGGTCAGCCGAGTTGCGGACTTCGAGCCGCGCCTTGTTTGGTGTATTTCGGTCATCACCAGCCAGAGGCTGGCTGTCTCGTTTGATGAAGACAGTAGCATGCACAAAATCAAACTCCATAAACTTACCGGTTTCGAAACATAGCGGTGTGGGAAGAGCAGTACGCCCAAGTGACACGCTATAGCATCTGCTAAATCGGGGAGAACTGCTATAAGAGAACGCGTTCAAAGGGTGAACGTGAGAGCATAGGGGACACTGGAAAACTGGCGCGGGAGGAGTCAAGCCACAGCTAAGAATCGCGGAGGAGGGCCAAGGAATTCATAAACGAGCGTGGGAGATGGGAAGTGGCTGTTCGGTCGTACAGCGCAACAGTGCGACGGAGGACAAGTGTGGATTCGGAATAGGTCTCCTCGAGCGGCCGGGTCGAGAACGTCGCTATCAAAGAATTGCGCGTCCGAAAGGTGGAGCAGGGCAGTGAAGTGAAGATCGGAGAGGGCGAGAAAGGAACTTCAGATGGTGGCCATGCAGGTAGAAGTCTATACGGAGAGCGGATAGAAAGGGAGCAATAGCGCGGCTGAAAGGGAGAGTTTGGCGAGGACCGACAAGTCGAGCGAGGGAAGACACGGTTGACGGTAGTACGTAGCAGTACGGAGTAGGGAATAGCAGTGGTAATAAATTAGCCAACAAGCCAATCCACAGAAAAGCCCGCATCGAAGTCCTGGGAGATATGGGGGAATCGGTCAGAATGCCATTTCGCGATGGTGGAATCGAAAATAGGGTTGTTCGATGGCTAGACAAGGACACAGGACACGGTGTGCCAAAAGCATTGCTAACTACTGCGGTAGCATCGCTCTAATAGGCTCTAGCATTGTTTTCGACTTCCAAGTACCCTGTAGCGAGAAAAGCGGCAAGATAGCGACTGGTGGTGGCAAGTGGGACTGTGGGGGACTGGGAGCACAGCTCATCAAACCGAATTTAATTCATCAGGGCATGCGGAACCGAAGAGAGGCGGACACCGCCACAAGTGGTGGACAGTGCTACAGTGGACACCTGTAGAGTGTAGAGTGTAGAGCGTCCTGCCTAGTTCATTACCTGCCTTAACTAGTGGGCAGTGGGCTGGTACTGTATACCGGTGGACGTTGAACCGCATGGGCGGTGGCGGCGTAGAGTGGTTTGTGACTTGTATGGATAAGCCGAATAGGTAATCAATAAGTGATACCGTAACTCGTATAATAATGCATGGGCGACAAGGAAACGTGATGCGGAAGTTAATTCTCCATTCAGATTCATGTTTACTTATTACGTAGTTTAAGCATGAATGAAGCTCTACAAGCTAAGCCCGATCTAGATAGCACCGATGTCACCCACCTCTCTCGGATGAATTACAGAATACCTATGAAGGATGTATGAATGTTTCCATAATGACGGCCATTCGAGCCTCGAGAGTCGAGGATGCCGGATGTACGACTTGAAGTCTGAACTCTGAAGGGCGACTGAGCAAATGAGCCGTAGCCCCTGAGGTCAATCCGCCCTAAATCTTTAAGTCCCTTCATAATTCTTAGACCACTCCGTATTTCCGTGCCACAGCCACAAATGACAAAGGGCTTCCACTCACCTACTGTCTGTAGGATCTACAAATCTGACATGGGCTCTGCCGCACACTGACAATTAACCGGGGCGGCGGCACTTTATGAGGCTGTTGTGTGGCAGGCCATGCCCAACCGGCGCCGACTCCTACTGGCTAACGAGGTGAAGAATACTAAGATTGATGGTTGAAGAACAGAGGTGTCGAGAAAACGACGTCGCCCAGTCTTCCGACAGCAGCTCCCTAAGCTTCGATAGGTCGTGAGTGGCTTTTGTTGATGCGGCCTGACGTTCTCCAGGACTTCGCAGTTCGCACGCTTTCATCCTTTCCGAATTCCGGGACCCATCTCGCTCCACTTTATCTCGCACTTATTTTTCAGAACAAACCCTCGTCAAGCTACTCGGACAATCTCCCACGCCCTGATCCGTCCCCTGTGGTCCCAGACATGATCTAATGACTCTTTAGCGGTCGGCGCTGGCATACGCGTACACGACGGAGCTGTGCTCCGTGGCAACTAGCACCTGGTATTCGCAGCCCAGGAAGTTCACGGGGACCTTTTCGCGAGCTTCATCGTCATATCGTCGCGCTCTGATGATAGTCATCCAGTGCAGTTGGCTGCCAGAGACCGATTCGCATGGTACCGCTGTCAACGTGAAATGAAACCACATTTCCGGGGCTGTTTATTATTATGGAATATCGCTGGGCAACTTAACATTGCCTCCCCTCATCTCCGTGAAATTGGATTCTCCATCACGGTAATAATCCGGCGCATTCATATCTGAAGTCTTCCGAACTCCATTCGACACTGAGACTCTGGATACGGTACAGTATGGCGACGGGTAAGTCCGATGCCTACACTCTTGATCTTTGTCAATTGTTTCATATTCTTCCCATAGGATATAGGACATCAAACATAATATCGGAAATCTTGCCACACGCTCCTGGTTACCCGATTTGACCCTCTGTCCTGCCAGTCTGCTACCTCCCATTTCCCCTTGCATCCCACGGCTTTCTCATCTCGAGGACAATTGAGTTGGTTGTCAATTGTCATATTCTGAATGGTCAGGAATCGGCGACACATCCCGCTCCTCGTTTTGTCTGATGTCAATGCTTCCTGTTGAACTGAGCTGCATTCACCTTATTGCCCATTGATGATTGACCATTGACACGGACCGTAGACTTTTGGACGACGGGATCCATGCCTCGGTTTCTGAATTGCCACGGACGTCATCACATCAGTGATCAATTTCGGTCTTACCGGGACATTGAGACAACGTAGGCCTCCAAAATTGGGGCGAATTTGAGCTGGACATCCTAGCGAACCGTGCAATGATAGCAATTGCGATATTGCGGAATACTGTAATGGTTTACGAATTATCTCATGCCGCATGTCGACTTGCGTTGTGTAGTGTGCTCCATGATCCATCCTGCAGTGCCTGCCATCCATGATCAAAGTTAAAATTGGATGACGGCATCGATGCCTCGATCGGACCTCTTCGGCCGGCTCATCCCCTGCCATCGTGAGTCCTAACTCCAATTAGGACCAATGGAGATTGGAGGGACGGTGGAAGAAACTGGAACGTCAGTTCCCCCCAATTCTCGCGCCACTACTCTCCTCCCCATTTTTCGATTCTTATCATTGGACAGCATGATCGACCTCTATTCCGATCTCCGATTTCCGACTCCGAAAACCTGCCCCGGAAAGATGTTCAAACTTCAACGGTTGCCAAAACTGCTAAAATGGGGGCAGGAAATTGAGAGTTTGGCTAATTGGCTCCAATCTGAGACTAAACCGTTAGACGGTAGGAAACCCCACAGCCTGTGCCGTGCCTCGTGGCTGTCAATCTCCCCTAGCATCGTCTACAGTATCACTCCGTGTAATTTCAGGATAAATTCTCAATTCAGGTTCATAAATCATAGCCTTCAGGCTTCATCGGTACTGCAGTGCTGCCCATCCTGTGTTAGTTATTGTATGCCGAACCAGGGACCATGAATGAGAACAAGCCACTTGGGATGACCAGCTTGACGCCTTGAGGATCAATAACGCGGGTACATGTAGCCCTCTGAAAGCCCATGTACCACAGTTCGCAAGTACTCTAGTCCAATAATGATACGAATAATTGCGGAGAACGATCCTTTCGATGCTCGATAGTCAATACCTAGCCGATCCTCGACACTCGATAGTGCCACGCGGTGGACAGAAATCCTCGCATTACCGAAGTGCACCTGCGCCCACACAAGACCTGTAGGATTTAATGCATTCTACAAGTAATTAATACACATCATTTTAATATGATCCCATTTCGTGAAAACCCTCATAATCCATCCCGAAGGCGGCCCCATAGGGGTTCTACGGAAAGATCACGTATCTGTGGTGCCGTCAATTTCGTGGAGATCCAACAACGCAAGCATGGTTTTAACTCATAATAAGTGACTGTATAGATGGTGATTTGGTGAGGAAGACCCCTGTAGAGTATTGGTGGTGGGTGCACTTCGGCAATGCGAGGATTTTTGTCCACCGCATGAGTGCTCAAGCTAATGTGCGTAACTCCATTCATGCGATTGGGCGCGGGAGGAGACGTGGATGACGTCATTGCAAATTGGACAGCTCCGCTCAACGACATCACAGGCGATATCGTTGGTATGCTATGCTGCTGTCCCCTGATATCATTGTGTTGATTTGCCATCCAACATGGTTTCTAAAGACAGAAACTGCTACTGCTTCGTTGGGAGAGGATAGACAGCCGTTCGAATCGAATTGCTCAAAGTGGTGTGGAGGGCATATCCTGTCTCCTGAGGGGTTGGGATGGTCTCCGATGGGACACCAATCAAAATCGATGAATTGGAGATCGTATCCTTCGTTCTATTCTGGAAAATTCGAGCAGTGTGTGAACCGACATTGGAGGCCTTGTTCTGAGGGGACTGATCTTCATTGTACGTAGAGGAATAAGCGATCGACGGTCCGAGGCATAGGGCCCTAAGGTATCGCGAACTTCAGGAGAACCAAGCCACGTCGTCCATACTCGCCACCAGCCAAGCGAGCCCGATCTATTCGGGATCGCCTCTCGACACAATGAGGCACCATTATTACCATTGTCCAGACAAAGCATCGGTCCTGACCGGGAAGTAGTGTTTCTTAATACACCAACCCCTGAAGCCACGGGGTGCCCCTAGGGGTGGTCCCAGTTGTGCACGGAGAGAAAAGTTCGCACTTCACAGAATCACAGCAGAAAGGTGGCGAATGGAAGTCCCATTTATGAGCTAAGCGACTCCGATCGGCAGTACTCACTCCCATCAACCGTTCCGGCTGGAGCGTTCGATTTGTGACTCGCGCTTAGGATGTGGGCATGTGGCTGATCGGCTGTTGGAGGTGGCTTACGCGTCCCATATGCAAAACTCTTCGAGCCCAAGTCGTCCGAATGGAGGTTGGTGTTGTTGGCATGCCCTTGAAAATCTGTCAGTGCGACTAGAATGCTGATTATAGGCGGACCTCGCCGATGGCAATGAGCCAGGAGACTGGCTTCCAATTCCCAGTACCTGATAGTACCCCAAAAAACGACTAAGTGGATATTTTAGACAGGAGAAGACGACTGAAATGATATGGTAATCGTCGCATGACCAGCGCGAGAACAAATCCCACGCAGAAATATCCGATGCAGTGCTTCTCAGTTCGACTTTCGGAGCGACATTGCCAGGACAAAGGCGACTTACTATGTAGTTTACTACCATACTCGGCGGAACACTCGGGATTGTGCGAGTGCCTCATGGGATTCATGGCCCACATCTCCGGAGAGGGTGATTTCTCCTATTGAAGATCAAACGGAGTCCAATCTTCGATGTTGAATTTCGTGTCATTTCCCGATTTAGATGTGCTCTGTCCCTTTGTGCGCAATTCCGGACAAGTGAAACACGAGTACTGCCCTACGCGACGGTAGCTGGTTTCCATCACTAACTCCGGTCGTAACACATGTCTCCTTGGAGTCGTTGCACCGGTTCTATGTACTCCCCAAGATTTAGCATATGAACTGTCAGGGGTTCGTGTTCTTCAGCCTTCACAACTCATCTAAACTTCGGTGCGGCGTCTTGGTCGGTCATTCAGAGAGACCGTCTGTGAGGTCGGGTTGGAGAATGCGGCAGCAACAACCGGTTGATCTGGCTAGGAACATCGGTTGAATGGATTCAGGTCAGGGCACTGTAGAGTGTAGAACACAGATTCCCGGCACCCGAGAAATGGGTGATCGATCCAGAGAAACCCCGGAATCCACGAGCATGTTTGTTGAAAAGCCCATAGACACGGTGGAAGGTCCATGGACCGTTTAAACACAAAGTCTAGTCGTCCAACTCTCTTCCAAAGTCCACCAGCCTAATCCTTCTCGCATCTTTTGGGTGAAATTGTGCAACTCTTGCTCTGACCAGGAACCGGACCGCAGCACTCTCTCGCTCCAACCTCACGTAGACACCGTCTTGACTCCTCCCATCGAGTGCCTCTACCAATGCATCAACCAAGGCGACGAACTCTTCCCCAGCCAAGGATTTCTCCGAGACTTCATTCTCGGCCGTCTGTGGCCCAGCGCCCCGTATATCTTCCAACCTCCGCTGCCGTTTCTGTTCCGCGTTCTTTCCAGATGGTTGAGATTTCCGCTTTCCGAACACACCCGCCGCAAGTGAATCTTCGTCAACTTCCATTGAATCGCCAACGACGGGCCCACCGAGCTCCTCGGCGGCTAATTGAACAGCAAGATGCTCCTCCGCAAACTCCAGGAGCGCGGCCCTCAGCGAGGCTGCCCGAGAGCGAAGATGCTTCTGTAAAGCTCTACCGGCATTGACGCGGTCTTGCGCAATCTGCCGCACGTCTTTCCTCGACTCTTTTCCCGACGAGGTCCGTAGGAGATCGATCCTTGCTCGTAATGCTAAGTTGATATCGGAGTGGTCGGTCTGGAGGGACCTGGACGTCCGCAGTTGGTGCTCATGAAAGGAAATCTGGGATTCGAGGCTCGGAATCTCCTTCTTCGACTCGGCAATGGAGTGTTTGATGGTTTGGTATGCTAGGACAGAAGGAAGGGCAGCGCTGGCACTTGAGGGAAGCATGGGCGGTTTGGCAGCGAGCGATGCCATCCCAAGTTTCACAGCTTGTAGTTCGCGTAGACGAAGTCTGGGGTTCTCAAGATCCTCCGTAGATGATAGGGTCACATTTTCAGCACGTAGCTTATTGCCGTTAGCCATGAAATCCGAGAAATAAAATGCAGGTTTTCCGTTAAACTGACCTTCTCTAGTGCCTGTGAAGCGGTTGCGATCTGGGCCTGAAGCTCTTGGAGTGTGGCATCAAGGCTCCCCTCCAAATCTTTGTCTCCACGCTCTTCCACTGCCATCGGGTCATCGCGCAGAGACCGACTCTTCTCAGCAAATTGGCGGATGTTGGCAATGATCGGATCCATTCTTGCTGATTGCCTTTTAGCGTCTTCTACAGGACCGAGTATTATTATCTGATGAATCCAAACTTGATAAAACAAAGCTTGCCCTCTCTGCTTGGATATCGGGTCCACGACGGTTGTCCAAGTGAGACCAAGTGAGACCAAGTCTACAACACTGGTGGTTTTTGACTTCTACCCACAATGTTCATTTGATATTGCGTCTGCGTAGTTCAGTGAGACTTCCCCCAGTTATTGACACTTTCCATATCATATGCCACGAATCCACGATCAACCACGTGATGAATCCTCAGGATTGATGATCGGAAAGCATCACGTGATGATCGATACTGTGAATTTCTCTCTGCGGATCACTCTCCGCCTCTTGTCAGTCCTCAGTCTTCGCTCCCTTTTCTTCACATCATCCATCATCTTTGTTCGACCTTCATCAACTCACAGAGTTTTAGTTGCTTCAGGTAATTCCTCTTCTTTTTCTTCTTTTTCCAGGACTTGCCTTCTGCGAGCCCTCGATCCAGTTTCTCGAATTCAGAAGGAGTGAAGGACTCAGTCACGCGAGGCGTCACTGCTTGAGGTTTGATCACAAGCTCCTTCAGCTCCCTCGTCTCCCTCATCTCCCTCAAAGGCGAGATATATCAACCACCAACTCACTCATCGATCATCCCTTCACTTCCATCACTCCAGTCCTCCTCCTCTGCGTCCTCGAGCACCAGCACCTTTTGAGTTCGCTTCCGCGCATTTCGACACTCCAACAGTCCATAGGACTCGATTTCACCCTCCTCACCCGCACCACTGCACCACCCCTTTCGACGAAGCGCTCCCTCAATCCACCCCTCACCGCTCCCTCCCTTCACAGCCGTCTGCTTCCTTCCAGCTGTCACTCCGACCGCCTGCACCCAGCACGTTTCCTTTGCGACACAGCCCCCAGCTGTACATAAGAAGCAATCGAAGCAATTTCATTCGAACCACCTTCGTTCATCACGAGTATTGTGACACGCAAATCTCTTCGCGCAACTAAGAAGGCAGACTTTCCCGGATTGCAACCGCCACCATGTCCGCGTCTCCGAGTGCCACCACGGCTCAATCGCAGAAGCGACCTCTTGAGGAACCTTCCTCTCCGAACGGTGCAGCCGACCAGCCTGATGCAAAACGACCTGCATTGGATAAAGTAGTTAAAGAGGAGGAGAAGAGTGAAAATGGGAGCACTGCTCCTGCCCAGGATGCGACCGCAGAAGCAGAGGCAGCGTCAGTTTCCAACGGCATCAAAGACGAGCAAGGCGACACTGTGGTGCCCGATGCACCAGCAAATGCCGCAGCTGTCCCTGGGACTCAGCCCATTCAGTCAACGACCACCGCGAACGGACGAGCGTCGTCTCAAGGCCCCGCTCATCAGGACGAAACAGGCTGGCTCCATATTCGAGCGATCATCTCCAGCCCTGAAGCGGCGACGGTCATTGGTAAGGGTGGCGAAAATGTCACTCTAATCCGAAAAATGTCGGGTGCCAAGTGCACGGTGTCCGACTATACACGGGGAGCTACGGAGCGGATTCTCACCGTGAGTGGGGTTGTCGATGCAGTGGCCAAGGTCTGTCCAGAGGATTCTCACTTTCCCGTCAACGAGGCTAACAAAGTTGTAGGCTTTCGGGTTGATCATTCGTACGTTGAACAATGAAGATCTCGAGGCACCTTCCACCCCCCAATCCAAGACCTACCCTCTCCGCTTGCTCATCCCCCACATCCTCATTGGCTCGATCATTGGCAAAGGTGGGGTCCGCATCCGCGAGATTCAGGAAGCGTCTGGAGCCCGACTGAACGCCTCGGATGCCTGCCTGCCCCTTTCAACTGAGAGATCGTTGGTTGTTCTTGGCGTTGCTGATGCAGTTCATATTGCGACATACTATGTTGGGAGCACCTTGGTTGAGCAACTGACAGAGCGATTTGGTGGTCCCGCAGCTTCGGCGTATGCCACACGAAGTGGTGCTCCGGCAAGTGCGGTGCCTGGTGGATTGCAGGTTGTCCCTTATGTTCCACAACCTGCTAGTGGACAATGGGGCCCTCCCGATAATTTCAGGCGTCACAACAACCAAAGTCAACGAACTCCCTCGAACCCATATGGTGTTCCGTACCTCCACGGACAAGCACCTCAGCAGCAACCTCAGTCGGCGATGCACTACGCATCCAACTCTCCTCGCGCGGCTTACGCTGGTGCAGGACCTCAGCAGCCGCAACAATACGGCGCGCAGGCTCAGCCTCAAGCAGCTCATGCCACTGCCGCTCAACCGGCTATGCAGGGAATGCCGGGACAGCCTGTCACTCAACAAATCTATATCCCCAACGATATGGTCGGCGCTATTATCGGAAAAGGCGGTGCGAAGATCAACGAAATCCGTACTCTCAGTGGTAGCGTGATCAAGATCAACGAGCCGCAGGACAACAGCAACGAACGGCTGGTGACCATTACCGGGACACCCGAATGCAACCAAATGGCGCTCTACATGCTCTATTCCAGGCTTGGTGAGTATCAGAAGGACTAGCCTATCGCCAACTACACGAATCAGCCCCTCTGACCAATATCCCTCACAGAAAGCGAGAAGCATCGGATGTAATGATGCTAACATGATGGTGAAGAGAGCGGCAGATGCTCCAGTGAGAAGCGATCGATCTCGTTCCACCGGGAGCAAGGACAAAACATCGATGGGATTGTAAGTTAGAGGGAGAGGTATCTTATGACGAAACATTGCCAGTAGCGCAAGGGATTGCATCAATTAAGGCGCATCACTGGTTAAAAATCGATCTTTGCGGAACGGGCCTGCGGGAACCTGAAGCATGTGCGACGGTTCCAAGGGGCCGTTCCCGTTTGGATCGCGAGCACTGCAAACACGGAATTTGCAAACAATGCAGGCAAGACCCGCATCTTTCTATCCAGGTTCTTCAATGAATTCAGCGAATTTCAGTTCAACAAGTTCTAATTTGAAGCATCTACATATTCGGTTCTTGTCTCCCGATTTTGTAGTGCATTTCACCCACCCCGGTCAGTGATGTATTTCCGTTTTCGGCCTGCCGAAAGCAACAAAGGAGTTCGTCACGATAGGTGAGTGACGCATCCGGCCGTCAAACAAAATCCGTCACGGGTCCCTGGACCACTGCAAAAGTCCTTCACGTACCCTCTGGTTCTGTTGTTCATAAGAATAATGGAATCGTCACGCCTTGTTTCCGTGGTCAAAAGCTCCCTGTTGATTGTCCATTCGTCCTCCCATCCTCCTTCAATTGCCACGAAGTACAACTAACACAGCAAGCGTCCACAAATCGTGCAACTAATTCTAAGCGCTGGTGCAAGTAATTGCTCCTCGATCAGCGTCGAGTATTACGTTGAGCTTCGCGTACGTACAGGACTCAGTTGAGTACTCACGAAGTCAGTGGGAGCGGCATCGACTTTGAGTCGTTGGTTAAAAGATATTCCTACTCTCGGTACTATCGAATAGACACAAGATAGAGGCCACCATGCCTTTTACTACGGTCGAAAGGGCATCTCCGTCTGTTTCTTTAGAGCCATTGAGGTATGTGCTGTGGTGCAAGGGACAGTCGACAGCTCCCCTGGCGACCATGAAAGCCACGCATTCCACAACATTAGGAGCATCCCAGACTGCTGACGACAGCAAACATAGAACGAACTTCAAAAACCTAAATGCAATCGCCGAAATCTCCATCGGCAAAACCAAACCCGTCCACTTCCTCATCCACCGCGAACTTCTCACGAACCACAGTCCCTTCTTCTCCGCTGCGCTGAACGGCACATTCGCCGAGGGCTTATCGCAGCATGTCGAACTCCCGGAAGAACGCCTGGATATTTTCGAGCATTTCATCCACTGGGTGTACACCCAGACACTCGACGCCAATGCATTCTGGAAGGATGGGAAGCCGACATATTTCCTCCTCCTCGACCTCTACGGGCTTGCCGACCGTCTCTCCGTCGAGGCACTTCGAAACTGCGTCGTAGACGAGATCGCCAAACTAGCAGAAGACACCAACTCCGTCCCGACGCCGAGCGACACCTACATTCTCTACGACACAATCCGCGACAACGCGCTGGTGCGGGACCTCGTCCTCGACCTCTTCGCGTTCAAGAAAACCGACAACCTGCTCGCCTCCCACGCCGACCCGTGGCACCCGATGTTCCTGCGGGACCTGTGCGTGCGGTTGAAGCGCACGCAGTCGACTGCGCTGGACCGGCACGACTTCGAGGCGTTCCGCGTCAAGGGGTGGGATCAGACTCGCGCGTGCGAGGTATGCAAGAACGTGCTGCGGCCGCAGGTGCCCGCTGGCCAGTGTCGGGATTGTCATAAGACGTTTTGCAGCGCGTGCATGGCGAGGGGGAGGGCGGTTGTCACAGGGGATTGGCCGGGTGACAGCCTGTGTAAGCCGTGGAAGCGGGATATGTGTCGGTATCATGATCACCATGAGACGGATGTTTGTCGGCCAGATGAGAGGGCAAGAGGAAGAAGAGGGATGACGATTCTGAGGTGATGATGCTTGGCTTTTTTGGGGCATTGCATTTGATCTATTTGAGGGAACAATACATTTGATTATCATCGAAGTGTCAGTGCTAGTCCATACATTTCGATCCAGGAATACCATGGGAATTACCAATCCAAGTCAAGGCGCGAGATTCTAGTAGGCGAGCTGCAGAATTATTTATGTCTAGTTATCCGGGAATTAAGACAGATTTTATAGTTGCGAGGCGACATTGTATCCAAAAGATGTTCAAGCTGTCTCGCTAGGCATTGAATTCTAAGTCATTGGTCCTATATAGGACAATCCCAGGCTCCATCCGTGCTCACATCCGACCTCTAGCGATGCGGAAGGTTCCATCGTCGTCGAGGATGTCTCGAAGCACATTTCTGTGCCGCTGATGATGGTCCCTTCATCTGCAAGCTCGACGTACGATCCCGACCATTTAGTTGCACCTCGGCTGAGGGTGCCAGTGATGTTGGACGTGTTGGATCTCCTCACGCTCATCATAGGCCAAACAAGCCATGCGTAAGTATCTAAGTATAGTAGCGATCGTTTAGCCAAAGAATACTTACCTATTTGCTCGTCACTATCAGCATTGTCGGGATCAACGGGGTCTTCGACAAGCGCATCGTCATCCTTGACTGGAATTGAATAGAACCTAGTTCTCGGCTGGTAGGTGTTGCCTTGGGCCTCACGAACGGGGACACTGCCAAAGAGTAGGTCGTTCATCTGATCGTACTTGTCGTCCGGATTCATGATAGAGAGATGGAGGGTTGGACATTGGTAAACTTGGTACTGAAGATGCGCTCAACTTCGTCCACAAAGAATAATGTCCTATATTCTAAGAACACAACTTCCAGTGGTAGAGAATAGAGCCCAAGTCGAGATACAAATGAAGCTGCGAGTGGTATGATGACATCACAGTGGAGGATTTTGGGTCAGCCCACGACCTGCGACCACATTGATTTGACGTGAATGCACTTTAGGAAATATTGCTTAGTAGCATTGTTGAATTAAGGCTTGCTTCATTTGACAGTACTAGGTAAGGTATAAAAACGCCGGGAGAAAAAGCAATGCTTCTATCGCCAAAGACTTACGAAGCTCCTGGGAAAGTTACCGATTCGCTCCTGGTTGCTTCGTCGCGATCTATAATTAGACTCGTCGCGCCAACGCCCTGATGCAATTGCCAGTCAAATGGAGGAAAGGTCGTCAGCATGGCAAGGCCAGGAGTGGGCAAACCACAACGAAGTAGCGAGAATCTCGAGGGTCATTGTAGCAGAGGGGAGTCAGCGACCAACATCATGGGCATGAAACAAAATCATAGGCTGGGAATGAAGCTGCATTCGAAGGGAAGCGAAACCCGAAGAATGTACTAAGAAATACCCCAGGAACTCTACTCCCACGAATATAAGTGATTCGGGAAGTGAAGCTGTCACGAATTGTAATGTATCCCTCCGTCCATGCACCGACAGCCACAACGGCAGGCGATGTTTGGTAATTGGAGGGACTTGAATTGAATCTTGGCACGTAGAAAAATCCTTCAGCTGCTTTACACAAAGTAGTATAGCGCTGTACACACATATGCCGTTTTGGAGAAGGGGGAATGAATCAAATGAGCAAAACCTGGGATGAAAACGTTTGGGGGAAAGGAGGCAGGAACGAGTTGCGGGAAGTAGGGTCGAGTAGGGCGGGCATGGCATCCGGGACATCCACATGTAACTAGAATCCCGCTAATGTTTCCAGATCGCATGGAAAAGGAAGGGAACAGGATAATATCGATTGACGGTCGAGGCCAAATGGCCCAGCGTCACAGGAACCAAGTGGTCGAATCCGTGCTTTTGCTGCTCTAGTTATGACTTGAACCCTATTCCTAGAGACTTATTGATCCCTCCATGGACGGACAATACACATGATCGTAAACGCAGATAAACCCGTGGACGCCGCTGCCCGATGTATGTCGATGGTGCGCTGTGCATCGTCGATATGCCTCAAATCGTGTCACGCTTGCCCTCCTTGAGCTCCTTCTGTAGAACGCACGCAAGTTAGCGAGTCCTCGTCGACAAATGCGGGAGATGGATCAGCAGTGGGCGACGTCGCAACGTACCAAAGCCTTCATGGTTCCGTGCAGAACATGTCTGTGGTTCCGTCGGAACTTAGGGTCGGTTCCCTTCAAGCTGGGATACCTGTGGGTCCTCGGCTTCTTGATACTATAGAAGATAATAGTCAGTCATTGAAGCCTTCTTTGTGCAGCGATCGAGCGATGGAAGGTCGAAAGTCCGCGTTGGTGCGATCGCGACGTACCCATTACGGTGATTCTTCTTGGACTGGTTATGCTGCGAGGAGTTCTTTGATTCTGCATGGATCAGTATTCTATGCTCCCGATAATCTTCTTCTTCCTCTTGGAACACGTACTGGCCATCTTGAGAAAGTTTCCGCGCGTACTTGACTGGTGGTTTCTCGCTGGTGGTTTGGTGAGGTTGATTTCGGCTGTGGAATTGAATGTGCGAATTCCGTGGGAGCTAGGCCGCTTTCGGTTGCCCAGCCAAACTACTTCACGTGATAATACTTCACGTGACCATAAGTTGACTGATGTCAGTTCGCGAATGTCTTCAACGAGTTGAACAACGATTTTGCGCTCAAGACGCCAGTACGGGGGGTTTAAGACGGTGGTTTGATTGACTATGAAGCCATGATAGAGACTCTAGCGGAAGAAATCCTCATATTTCAGAATTTCTCGTGCAAACTGCCCGTCCCTGCCCACAAGAAGGGAATCAGTGATTAGGATTACTTCAATTGATGATACAAGCCCCCCTATGCGCTGCGCGCTACATCCAAATATCGTTCCGTCCCCCAACCAATTAACGCCTAACAGTGCAACTATACAATAGACCAGGCTGTTACTTCCTGGCATTGATCACACGCTTTGCTGCATGTCTGATCTCCCGTCCCGCACTCTCGAGCTCTTTCTTTGTCAAGCCAACGACGACACAAATCTTCAGTGCTGGCTGTGGCTGCCATTCTTTCGCCAAATCCTTCACGCTGGCACCTTGAGCGGAAGGCATCCGTTTGATTTTGGTGATGAGGACGCCCTTGTTGAGGCACTGTAGACACGGAACGGTTAGCTTGAGAATCAAGAGGAAGTAAAGACGATTGGGAAGCTTACGTCGTCGACAATGTCCTGCATGATCGCCTCCTGATCTGCATGACTCCATTTCTTCGCCTCGATCGCTTCGTTCTTCAGAACCGCAATGATATAGGGACTGTCCTCTTTGCTCATGACTTTGAGCCACTCGCTCCTCGGATCTAGCTGGGCACGCATTAGACGGCTGAGCTCCCGAGCCTGGTCCATCAGCGCGGCGCCTTCCTCCGTCTGCAACAGAGCAATCGTTTCGCTTGCTGTGGTGGCCAGAAGAGCCGGTAACGCAGCCGAGAAACAGTAGGAGGCAGCGTTGATCCGCTGATGCACGACAACTTCGTTGGAGCCGGCGCAGAAGCCACCCCCGCCACAGAGCGGACCGGACAGCGACCCAACAATCATGTCGATGTTCTTGGAGTCGACGTTTTGAGCTTCGGTGATGCCGCGGCCGGTGAGACCAAGGGTGCCATAGCTGAGGGACTCATCAAGGATGAGGCGGAACTTGTATTGGAATTTCAGATCGACCTAAACCCGTTATTAGCCCGTATGCACTCGGTGTTGAGGGGACCACAGCGATGCGGGACACACTCACAATCTTCGGTAAATCGATCACATCGCCGGTGCTCTCGAAGAGGGCCTCCGTGACGATAAATCTCCTCGTCAACGGAGCCTTCTTCGGTGTATTCTTCACCACCTCCTTCAGCACCCGCTCCAGATCTTTCATGTCGTTGTGCTCGAACCACTTGATCTGACTTCGCGAGATCTGCAGTCCCCTCCGGATCGAATAATTGACCGCCTTGTCCGCAACGATGATGTCGCCCCGCTTCGAGAAGGCCGGGATGACCGACGAAATCGTGCTGAATGCCTGCGCGTAGATGATGCACGCCGCCGTACCTAGGTGCGTCGCAACATCATGCTCCGTCTTTATATGCACGTCCTGGTGGCCGTAGAAACCGGGAGGGCCGCAGGGACCGACGCCATAAGTGCGGAGGGTATGGATGGCGCGCTCCTTGAGGATTTCGGAGCCGACGAAGTTGTAGAAGTTGAGGGAGGCGAGATTGGTTACGGTTTTGCCGGTGCTGAGTTTGACTTTCGGGCCGGTTTGTCTTCACGCCGCTGTCAGCATCCTGCAGCATCGGAATAACCTAGACGGATACACACCCTACAATCACCACCCTGCTCTTCTCCTCCGAGAGCTCTGCCTCTGTAAGCTCCCCAACCAGAGGTTCAGGCGTCCACTCCTCCACCAGATCCTCAATCTCATCGTCCCTCAACTCCACCTTCCCGCCGCCTTTCTTGCCGCCGCGCACGCCATACCGTGGCGAGATAATATACCGCAACGCGAAGAGGAATAGGAAGAGTTCGACCGCCGACCGGACGGGGTCGTCCTGATACGACGATCGGATGTATCGCGCGATGATGGCGGAGCCGGGGACGCGGGAGAAGGAGGTGCTCACGCTGGAGAAGAGGTCGGAGGTGGTGGCGTTTCCGAGGGGTTGGAGAAAGGCGTTCATGATGTACGGCTGCGCTGCTTCTATGCCGGTGTCTCGGGAAGAGCTGGCGGTCTATAGGAGAGGGAGTCGGAAGCGACAGGAGCAGCGATGCGCGGAAGGATACTGATGTAAATGCGGATTCGAGGAGAGGGTTCAGGGCGCGAAATCGCTGCAGAAGGTAATGAGGGTTATGGTGGAGGCGCTCCTATTGCCATAGATTCATCACCATGTCACGGAGTTCAATGGTTAAGTGCGTGAAGCAGCCCTATAAAATACCAAAGGACGATCTATCTGTCTGATGGTTTTCCAACCTAAATGCCCATGTCATGATCAACTCCTTTTCCGCTGACGGCCCAAAAGTCACGTGACTGTAATTTCCCTATGAAATGCTCCCAGAAGCTATGCGTCCTGGTCGTAGTCGGTGCAGTGGCAATGAGTACAGATATAGCTTCAGGTTTTTTCGGGGAGCAGATACCTAAGTATCAACTAGCGAGGAGAATACAGACAGAACTCCCTAATGTGAACCTCGCTGCGAATAATCCGGGATGCAATGCGATTGATGTAGCGACATAAGGTAGAACTAATGGAGAGCCTCTCCTGACGTCGAACCGCAATAGCATGCCTCAAGTCCTATAAATCACAGTCTACATATGTCGAGCTGGGTCTTGGAGTAATCTGATATTCTATTTGACTGCATCTCATACCGAAGGGCACGGCATTAGAAACTGGAACGACCAAACCCATGTTCCCCATTTTCGCCAATACACAGTTAACTCTCCCCGGAGTCGGGACAACAAGATGAGAATAAACGCGCAGTTTGTTGAATACCACTCATTAGACTGCTCCTCCCCTTCCCTCCCATGGTTCGATGCGAAGTAATGATAAGCAGGAACCGACGAAACAAACATGCACCGCCGAGAAACGAAACCCCACCCCGTGCAACCGCTGTGTGTATCATACAATGATGCATAGCCGAATCGTTTTCGGCGCTCTTATCTTTGAATTTGGTCATAATCCATTCTATTCTTCGTTTTCTCTCACCCACCTCGCACCCGTCAACTGCTCCCCCCTAGTACATCACGTACCGTTCAGGGAATGGGTTGTCAGATGCAAATGGACTGAGGGTACCACCGCCGGCCGTTTCAGAGGCGCCACCGCCACTGCTGGCGCTGCCAACGGATCCCGTACTACCAGTACCTCCGCCCCCGGCAGTTTCATCGGGCTCTTGCAGCGTACGGCCGGTCTTGGAATAATTCCGCGTGTCGTTGTTCTCCATCTTGGTAGGCTGTAGGAGATTCAACGGAATTTCCGGAAGGTTCTTCAGGGCGCCGCCAGCAACGAGAGGCCCGACAATCAGCGCGATGAACACGACCAGCATCACGAAGTACAGGATACTATAGCGGATGACGCGTCGTTTGCGGAGTTTGGTCTGCTTGAGGGAATAGATGGGCGGTCGGATTTGTCGGCTGCATAGATGTTAGTTGGAAAGCTTTCAAGCGCATTGTTGCATAGCATACCTTGGGCGCAGCCAAAACAGCATAACCGAATGGACCTTGTCGATGTACGGAACAAGTAGCGGCGGCAGCATTACGAACAGCAGAACATGTCCGAGGATGAAGTCCGCTGCGAAGTAGCCAAGCTCAGTGATCTTGCAGAGGAATTCACGGCCCGGCTGAGAGATGGTGTGCCAACCCATGGCGTACCATTTGCCCGTCCACCATGCGATATTGGAAGCGTCCGCTTTGAATTCACGCGTTAGAGCCAGCGAAATGATCAGCTTGTAGACGAATCGTTGGATTGCAACGACCGTGATCATTCCGAGCATGGCTTTGCTGAATGACCAGCCTTCAAGGAAGAACATGACCTCAAAGAAGGCAAGCAGCATGACGACCGCGATGGCGTGGGAGATTGCGGCGAGGACGGCGCCAAATTTCTTGCAGCACATGGACAGCAAAGGACCCGCGCAGCAAGCCATAGCGAACATGCCTCCCAGAACGCCGGCGTTGATGGCGACAGGTGCGAAAGCCACAATGCCAACGCGGATGAGCGAGTTCGTGGCTTTGAGCTCTTTGTCGGGGTTGTTGTTCTCGTTCACGCCCGTCTGTGCGTTGATATACAAGTACGGGACCAGGCAGACGATGATCAGAAGCAGAGGCGAGATGATCTCACTGAAAAAGATGTTGGTGAAGTGCGCTCGTGGGACATCGCCCGACAGCTTGGCGGAAGGATCGCCGAGGGCCTTGCGCTTGTATCCCGTAATGCGTGTCCGTGTCAGCCGGCAGAACCCGATCCAGGATGCGGAGTGCGACTTGGTATTTCCACGGGAGAGCCAGCGGAGGTACTCACGGTAGTCGATGAAGAAGTCGTTCCACGCGAACTGATGGGGGTTGAAAAGGAACGGCGAGATGCACAAAGCTAGGAGCGAAATCCAGAAGTACAGCAGGAAGACGGACCAGGTGGTCAGCGTGGCGAATACCAACATCATAAGCAGACGCGCTCCCATGTAGATGGAAGGGCCGGCGAACCGCGAGTAGAGGATACCGAAGGGGATGCGAGCAGTAGCGAAGCCCCGACCCGTTCCGATGTATCGAGCACCACCGAACGACAGATTCGAATGCAGGGAATTGGCATAGATTTGGCAGACGAACACCTCGAAGAGGGGAGACAACGACGAAAAGTGCTTCGCAAGACGGGTCGCAGCACGCCAGAAGCCACGTTCGGTCAGTTCCTGGACGACAAGAGGGACGAACGAGATGAAGAAGACGATGAAGATCGAAACGACGCAACGTTCCATCCAGTCCAAGATCGGTGCCGTGTTGGCGCACCCCGTTGGGTAAAGACGATCGGTAATCGGGACACGCGAGTTGTACTTGCAAGTGATGGTCTCGTGTCGGAGGGCACCAAGATTGATGGCGGCGAACATGAAAAGTTGCACCGACAAGATGATGAACAAGTTGTTGACGTGGAAACCGGCGTGAGCGTAGTAGAAGGACAGGAACCGATCGAGAGGGAGCTGTGTTCCGAGATAGTAGTATTCGCGAGAAAGCATCTGCTCTCCCATACCAGTGCCGATCTTCGTCGTGAAGTTGAGAATCGAGCCGAAGCCCAAGTCACGACCCTTACCACATTGGTAATATTCACAGTGCTTGATGCGACCACCACGGATGAGCGCATTCATACCAGCGTAAATATCCTCGTTGAGATGCAAACCCTTCTGAGCTTTGGAGACACCGCCACGAGTCGTCATGTAGATGCCGTTCAGGAAATCCGGATGGCCGTAATGAAGTTTACCGCCAATCTGAGCCAAAGTACGAGAGAACAGGGTACCGAACGTTTGTTCCTTCCCGGCGGCAACGTCACCGAGAATTCCGACGTTCTCCGAAAAGATGTACTCGCGAGCACCAAGAATAGCCACGGGCTCGATCTTGTCGCGTTCGACGCCAGGGGTGTACGGCGAAACGTTTTCGGTGGTCATTTCTTCGAACTCGGCCAAAACGGATCGGATCTTCAAGCACTCTTCGAGGTAGTTGTCTTGATTCGCGTCGATGAGCTGGATGTATTCGCCACGGTAGAAGATGATGGCATGGTTCTGGTTGTCGGATTTGCCGTCACCTAAGATGGGATTGCCGGAGAGTTGAACGCGGAACTTGGGACGCCTTAGGCCGTTCTCCATGATCTCCGAATGACCGTCGATTAAAGCCGAGAAGATACGAGGATCATCGCCTTCGTTCGCCGGCGGTTCTTCATCGAGATAGGCAATCTGAAGATCGGGATACGCGCGGAGCAAGAACTCGGTGTTTTCACGTTCTTCCTTGGAGAACTTGGCATATCGCTGCATGGACACGACGATCTTGTACTTTCGGCGAGCCATGCGCTCCAGTTCGCGTTCAAGCTTGTCGGAGTTGCCGCCAAACATCTGCACCACTTCAGGGTTCTCAACGCGGTACAGCAGCTTGATCGCACGGCTGTAATTCATGAAACCAGAGATGGTACGATACAGAGTCTGGGATCGAAGCGAAGCCCAGATACGAGTCCGCAGCGTGTACTCGGGAGCAGCAGACTTGAAACCGATGCAGTAGAAGGGAAGATCGTCGATCTTGCTCTTCTGGGTGTCCTTTTCACTCTTCTCATTGTCGCCGTTGAACTGGGAGGTCTCGTCCGCGAGAATCTTAGTGTCTTTGACGAAGCAATCCCACTCGTGAGGATGGAGCTGCTTGAGGTATTCCAACAGAGTGACTCTGGAATATGGCTCGTCCTCTCGGATGATCTCACGAAGCGACAAGAGGATCTTCTCGCCGTAGTGGGGAATCATAACCGTGAACGTGGGCATGTTATCGACCGGCAGAGGCTCGGGAATTGGAGTAGACAAAGACTGGGCAAAGAAGGAGATACGTCGTTCCGCCTCGCTCTGAGACGGAAAGAACTCGGTCTTAAAGGAATGGTCTTCCTGCGAGACGAAGAAGGTTGGGGCGCGAAGGGTTCGCTTGCCCTCCTGCTCGGATGGAACCTGATGATAGAGGAGCTTCTGCACGTGATCGATGGCTAAGAGATGCTCGCGGTACATCGAGATGACGACAGCGTTCCAAATCTGGGAGATGAGGACTTTCGGTTTGTACTTGATTTCCATGTCAGTCGTAGCCAAGACCTTGGAATAGATACGCTTCGGCAAACGAGAGAAGATGTTTCGCCATGGGGTCCAGATGGAGACGCCGAGGTAGAAAGAACGAGCGACGGAGAAGACGGTGTTGCATATGATGTACCACAGGTAGGTATCGAGGAAGAAGAGGGTCAGATCCGTCAAGAACATGACGATGAGTAGGACCTTCGGTTGCCAGTAGCAAAGAATGGTGCCGATAATTTCATCGCCAAGGCATGAGGAGAGCTTCATCGTAGACAAGATTCGAATCGGGTCACGGAAGGACCGCGTGAGGTAGATGTACGATTCCGCCAATTTTGCGGCAAATACCATGACCCACAGACCATACGACATCCACATATCGTTGCCCTTCAGACGTGGATAGCTTGCGGTGAAGGTCTGGCTCGCGACGTAGCGGCGCGTATTTGTCTTGAGGTAGCTTCCGAAAAGCCCACCAAGCGGCATGATGGAGAAATAGAAGAACGAGGCCAGGGCAATGAGGAACTGGACGATACCGAGGATGTGGGAGACTTTACTGGTCTTGTTCTTCGCAATGAAGAAGATGTAGACGCTGGGAGCAAGGTTGATAATGAAGACGACGATCAGGAACAAGAGTCGCTTGGTTAGGTGCTGAGCTCCAGCCCATTTTCGGGGAACGTACATCCATTCGCAGAGGGTGGCAATGATCATAATGAGCGAGGCAACGGCACCACCGAGACCGACGGCAGACCAACGGTACGGGTTTGGAGGTTGGTTGTCGATCTGCTGCTCGTATGGTTCCGTCAAGTACAGCTGTGGCGAGTTGAAGGCGGTGTAGAACCAGAATGAGGTAATGTGGATGACCCAGATTCGGTTGAAGTTGACCATTAGGTGGAACCAGGACCGAGTCTCTCGATATGTCTTGAAGAATACCTTCTTCCATTGGACCTCGTGCAATTTCACGTAGCGTTCCTCCGGCTTCAGATCGACGAGACGGGTTTTGTCTTCCAGGACGATTCGCTCGATGCCCTCCGGATACCAGAACAGTTGGTTGATGTCGTCATAACCGATAATGCTGGAATGATCGCGTTCGCGACGAATGTACTTGCCATCCTGGATCTCGTATCCTTGATCACGGATAAACTGGTAGAGCGGAGTGATGACGTTGTTGAGGTAGCTGAACTCCTCCACCGGTTCCACACGCTGCTGGCACGCAGGCGAGTTGAGATAGTCGTCCGCACACTTGAAGATGAAACAGAGACACTCGGGTGTGAAGCGAACCTGATTGGCCTCTCCCCAGCAGAGGAGGTAGAGAGCGATCTGACGAACCCGGTCGTGCTGAGACATCCGGTTCATCTTCGTCTTCCAACGGTATTCGGCCGCCTCCAAGCTGTTGTCACCTTCGAACGCTTCCAGAGTCTCGGTTTCATTCTGTGGGGCGTTCTTCTTCGCTTTGGCGCGGGCCTTGCGGGTTCGACGGTTCGTTTTGCCTAGTTTCATGTTGGAAAATCCAACAGCATCGTCGAGATCTAACTGCGCCGCAAAGTACCAGCGGCGGTAGTTGGCGTTGTCGCCGCCAATGTAGTCGGCATGGAGCGAGAGAAGGGCCTGGTTCGGCGGCATACGAGACGTTCTCGAATCAAGCAGAGTCATGAAGTGATCGTACATGTTTCGCATGCTATCTCGCTGGAAGCCAAACTTTGCGGTGAGTTCCAGGAAGATGTCTTCGATCTCTTCCTTGGAGAGAGGAATCTGGGCCTCCGAAGTCCAGGCAGGGTACGGCTCCCTTGAGCGCTGTCCAGCAGGAAGTGCGTTTTGATATTCCATGCCATAGATGGGGGTGGACGCACCCGACGAGCGATTGGCGCCGTAGGAGATCTGGGACGATGGCGGGCGGTATCCACGTCCGTGGCCGTCATGGTAGCTGTTGTATTGCTCGTCGCCACGTCCGTAATAGTCCATGTCGGCACCACGAGCCATGTCGGAGCGCATCGTGAAGTCGCTGAAAGTCTCGGATTCTTCCTCGTACCCGTGGCCCCTCGGCTGACCGCTGCAATGCCGTTAGTTGAGGTTTGAGTTCGCGGGGTCAAAAAACACGAACTCGTGATAGCCATGTCCTCCCTGGTCCGGATGACCTTGATCGTAATAGCGGTCGTCGTAGTAGCCATCTTGATAGCCTTGATTGTCATAGTAGGTGTCATTCGGGTGGGGTGTCTGTCCATTCTGGTCGTAATAGCCTCTGCAGTCAAATCAGCGGATAAATCATGCGGCAGTCGAGCGATGAGGGATGGCGTACGATTCATCATAGTATGCATCACCGGGCTGTTGTTGCTGATCGTAACCTTGCTGGCCATAATAGGCTTGATTGTGGTCGTCGTAGTAGGCCTCTTCCCCGTGGCCCTGGCCCGGGACCTGACCGTGAGCCTGACCTGTGGCCTGACCTTGGCCCTGGACATGGCTACGGTCGTCGTGATAGCCCTGCTGCGGTTGTCCCGACATGGCTGCTCAAAGAATAGAAAAACGAGTTGACAACCTGCGAAGGATCAAGATGCGAAAGTCAGCAAATAGTATTCAACGACATCAGGTGAGTAAAAGTTGATGGCGCGGGTTGCGGCAGGACACGCCTCAGGATTGCTCCTGAAACGCGTTGACAGGCGAACCGGTTTGGAAGGTTGGGGTGAAGGATCCACTCACTTCAAACTTGGATCATGACCAGTTAGTTGCACAGGATCCTCGAATTAATCGGCAAGAAAGAATTGTCGTCGAGTAGAGATCAACTCAGCAGTGGAAATTCGCAATGAACGAAAGGCAGCACTGAGGAATGTGAAATGGGAGATCGTGATGATGTTGTTGTGGAGATGATTTGCAGCGAGCGACAGATGACAGGAGAAGTCAACGAGTGAGAGATCTCCTGGGTTGGATGGTGCGCAACGTTGGTTAAGAGCGGTCTCCCGGACAGAATCAATCGAAGCCGGGAGGAGGAGATTAGAGGAAGTCGAGGATGAGGAGAGAAACGAGAGAAGGGAGAAAGAGAAGAGGGTGACGAAGGAGGAAGTGGAGAACAGGAAGAAGCGGGTTTGTTGGCAGGTTCTGTTGAAAGATAGGGGAAGTGGGTGGGCGGATGGGCAAATGGGCGAGGGGCGCGTGAAGGGTCCTGGTGAAGGGTGAAAGCCTGAATTCAGAACTGCGACGGCCGAAGGGTGAAAATGCACAGCCGCTGAATCGCACTCACAACCTCTGGGCTCCCTCTGGCACACCTCACAAGGAGTCACGTTATTTACAGGGAATAGGCCTTGTTTTTTAATACTTTGTGTATTGCTATTACACTCCAGGTTGAGGACAGGGGATCAAGCAAGGGTTGAGAGTGGAGAAATGGAATCTTATTATTATTGAGAGAATCTGTCGTAGACCAAGGTATAATCTATAGGAGCCTAAGGCTACAAGCTGCATTAATAACCTTGCCATGAGTCTTGTATATCTGCAGGGCCAGGGAACCGGGCATTCACATACACACAACTGACACAATAATAATACAACAACTTTGTTGCTGTCACCAAATCACCTGACCCCCAACCATTTTAGCACTACCCGTGCGACACCACATTTCCCTGGGTGGTAAATTACCAGTACGGATGACTAACCCATGCGTAAAGCTTGGCAGTGACACACGGTTTGGATGCGCAAGGTCTGCGATTACCAAGGTCCATTGACCTAAACTGAAGAGGGAGAAGAAAAGAGGAAATCCCCTCGCACCTTTGTGTGTGAGATATTGGCTCTCTCCTCCGCTATTTTAACACACTTGCTCATACATGACTCCTTTTCTGATAATCTGCCCGCAACCCATCAGCCACACTTAGGGGCTCAGGCCACAGGCCTGGGACCTATCACAGAATATCCATGTTGAAGAGATCCATGTCGGAGAGTAAGGGGAGTTCTGATTGGCGTCAGAGTGTGGCAGATTTACCTCCAAAACGGCGTCACAAACCGCCCAAAATGGAGGTCAATTTGCCGTCGTTTTGTTTAAAAGAGACAAAAAATATTATTTGAAAAAGACTGGTATAGCTCGGGCAAATAATTGGAAGAACCGACTACAAATCACAACATTTTGCTTTCGCAGTACAAGGGCACAAGATTGTTATGTATAATGTTAAGGGATGATGTTGATTCTATCATTAGACCAGTATTGAAACGCGACATTTCCATTTCCCAACGTCCAACATACTATTTATTTACTTTATCTCTATTTCTTATTACTATGTCTACTATATCCATTGCCTTTGAGGTTAAATCAAGTCCTGGCAATCAAGTCCAAAGTCTGTCCTATTTCATTTCAACGTCTATAATCCTGTCTTAACGTGCCTCAATTCCCCAGGAAGACTAGATGAGTTTCTCTTTCTGAGCAGACCTTAATATATGTTCCATTTTCCAAACACACTACTACCATTCACTTGTTCGGAAGGATCAGTTCGCTCCTTTACATCTCAGTCTTTCTTAAGTCAAGCTACCGACCGGTATAGCGGTTAGGGTAACGGACACTTTTCATCGACTCCTTAGGCCGCTTCTTGGTTATGGCTCAATATGCGGTTGACCGTTGACTAAGATTCAATGAGCCGTTTCCGCAATCAAGTTCATAAGGCTTCCAACCACTAGCTGGACCATTCTGGAGGCTATAGAAGTTCTCCTGCTTCTCACTGAACTTCATGATTCAAAAACTTCCATCCATGTCTCGGGAGTACTTGGACCGTACCAAAGCAAATAGGTATTCCATTTGATAGTACCAGAAGAATGCGAAAGTCACCGGAATCCAACACCTACAATCCGCATTTTATATTGAGCACAAAAATCCTACTTGCCAACTGAGGCCCAGTCCCTGCTGAACTCCTTTTGAAGTTCTGGGAATTTCTCCCGACGCATGACCGATAGCGTCTCCGCCTCGCATCTAAGCCCTTCGACACCATAGTTTTTCATTGAAAGATATGTCCCCACCACAAAGCGAACTGGTTCTAGCAGGGTGGGCGGTATCCGATGGGAATGGCACTGGAACCTGTGTCGACTGCCAATTTTGATAGTAAGAACGCGAGACTACCATTGTCCTCGGTCCAGATGCATTCTTGAGAGATGAAGGGTCACTAGCTACTGTGGCTGCTGGGTCAATGGAGCGATTGAGGTAGCCGGTCCTATCGTTGAGAACTAGTCAAACGAATCTTATGAATGATATCAGCAGGTCTCCTCTAAGCGATATTCTGATGGATATGATACGGTATGTGTATCTATGCGTCTTCTGGAAGCGTTAAGTCAATACCAATATCATACCCGCCAAGTAATTGAAGGATGACGTATATGTACTCGCTGGCAAGGCTGGTCCTCAAATGCGCACCCCTGTCGGGCTGTCTCGCTGTGAACTCAGAACTGAACAGTGAATATGAAGCTGCCACTTGCCACACCTTGGACCTGGTTAACTCAGACCCGCTTAGAAATGCAGGCCCCGTCTCCCGATGAGCGTCCAGAAATTTCGTCTTAAAGTAGCCAATATTACGGAAGACGGTAACCGTGCCCCATGTCCGCCCCACACCATCCGGTGTTCATGTTTGCCACCGGCAGGTGTGGGGCGAGATCCAGGGCGCGGTTAATTCTTTACTGCGCAGAGTGACGTCGCCCAACCATCCACTTGCTGTATTGTGGAAATCCGGTAAATTGCAGGGCACACAGTGTTTAATTGTTACCCACCCAAACACCCATGTCGCCGGTCCCAAAGTCAACCGCAGGCGCATCGAAGGCCATATGGGCTCCTTGGCTATTATATACCAAGAATTCTTTATTGTAGAAAGCGAGTGAGCTTTGGAAAGAAATCGTACAACTGGAAGAGCAAAATAATGGGCGACCAACTCCGTTGAATACTTGATACTTGTAAATACATGTTGGTAGAGGAGGATGTGTCGTCATAGCATGAGGACGATGCAGTACTCCAGTCCATTCCACACCACAGCTCCCGAGCTGGACTGCTGCTCGGTTGCACGCTTCTCCGGCATTATTAATGACGCATCCCCTTTTCTTGTGTCACAGGCTTACAGCAGAGACCGTTGAACTTCGGACTTCATATCGTTCCTGGAACCCCGGGACTCTGCGTGGCTGGGATACAAACGTGAACTCCTGTCGTTGAGCAGAGCGCCACAAGCCCACAGAGGTGGGCCTAGCCGTTCTGGCGCTTCACGGGCGGATCTTGCAGAGACAAACCGCCGGCACGCCAGACCTCTTGCAGCCGATGTCAGTGGCGTTGAGCGATTTGAATAAATTCTGATACGTCTGGAGTTTGGACTCTGGAGCGGTCGGGACAGCAGCATGCGGAACCTTCAGCATCAAATCCCTTCACGATCGATATTCGATTCACGGTACATTCGAGACCGTTAAGTTAGCAAGGTAGGTCCTTTTAGGATCTACTTTGAATCCCTGATCGCGTGTGTGGAACTGGTGTGAAAATCTTCCTTTGGACCCATATCGATGCCCATTTTCTAGGGGAAGCTATGAATTTTACAGACTACTTTTAGAAACCGCACGATGAGACACTGGATATCCGATAGAACTCTGGATTCATGATTGTGGGTTCTTGACTCCTATAAGTAAGATCGGCATTTTGCCACCGTTGAGCGGTAGCTCACAAGTCACAAGCCACAATCCACGCGATAATTGCATCGTGGGCCTCTATCGTTTGTACGGATTCAGGACTACAAAGGACGCTTTACACGTCACACCAGTTCGGTTGGACTGTCCGGACTGATAGTAGTACCTGATCGTGGGATATTCTGAACGTTGACCGACCGGTGGGACTTCATTCAGGTTGGATTTGAAGAACTTGGAGTGCTGCGTTGTTCGCGCATTTCAGACGTTCGGTTGGGAGACTGACGACATTGTGCTGGAACGCCAGCAGCCCAGCACCCAGCGGGCAACAGCGAACCACTCCTACTCTCGGTCACTCCACTCGATCCGACAATCCAGCCAATGACAACCACTCGATCCGAGGCGGATTCTGCGCACTGACCTTTTGTAAGTTAGGGGCGCGGCCCAAATGAACCAGGGGCTCCAGGGGAAGCCCAAATAAGGAAAGGTCGAGGAGGTAAGAAATCCGAACAAAGCAAGTGATGGACTGATGGTCGAGGCTCGAGGGCCAAGGGGGGGAGGCGACCAAGGGGGGGAATTTGGGGTCGAAAACCGGCGGACGACCCGAAAGGCGAAGGAGCCAGGAACTGTTGCAGCTCCTTTTCAGTTTTCAGATTTCACGTTTGACAGACTGACAGTTCGACACCGCATGTGCCCTCCGGGGGAGACGAAATTGAGTTACCTTTCTTGGCATTCCCCTATGCACAGTTCCCACGATCTTAACCAGAACGCGGCGGAGAATTCACCAAAACAGACCTCTAGTAGTTGCTTAGTTAGGAAAAGAGTATACTTTTTGGTATTATGTTGTTTTTGAGCGAATTGGGCCTGCCTGTGATGGTGGTGATGGTTGGGGGAATGCCAAGAGACGTAACTCAATTTCGTCCCCCCCGGAGGGGCCATGGATTTTCTTTCATGTTGGAACTGGGAAATTGAGGATCGGATAGAATCTCGGCCGCGTCTCCACACCTTCCAGAATCCCATTAATAATACCACAGAATCGTGGGCAATTCGCATCGGATCTAGCTTGCGATTAGCGTGTACAGTTAATAAAGACCATTGGTCTTGACTCTTGACTCTTGAGATTTTGCCCATGGAGGGTGACTTTCGATCTTTGGTCCTTCTCCATGCTACTCCCTTTCCACTGAGTGTCCGTACTGGTCCCTGGAGATCTGATGTATTGTATTGTACTCCTCTTCTTCAATTAGGGATGATCGGACGGTCCAAGGAGGACAACACTCATGCCTGATACACCAATGTCTAATACGGCGAGATTGCTCCCCCCTGCCAACCAGTGGCGGTCCAATCAGCTCCAAAGAGGGCTAATACCTCTCTGGGCTCTGGCTGTGCAGTCTCGATAAGATTCTGTCGCACGGGCAGTGCTAAAATGGTTGGGGTCAGGTGATTTGGTGACAGCAGCAAAGTTGTTGTATTGTGTAAGTTGTGTGTTCTATGTGAATGCCCGGTTCCCTGGCCCTGCAGATATACGAGACTCATGGCAAGGTTATTAATGCAGTTTGTAGCCTTAGGCTCCTATAGATTATGCCTTGGTCTGCGACATGTGGTGTCGCATTGAGACATGCTAATATATATGGATTTCAGGGTAACTTGATCATCAAGCAGCAGAGTTGTATTGTGTAAGTTGTGTGTTCTATCTCGAAGCCTGGTCCCCTGCCCAGCTCCGGCCCTGCAGATATACGACATCTCAAAATGTTGGGGACAAATCTCACCAGCCAATTAAAACAACAATAGATTTCATTGAATTCTTCACCCACCCTAATCGCGACGTATCCATTACGGTGATTCTTCTTGGACTGGCTATGCTGGGAGGAGTTCTTTGATTCTGCATAGATCAGTATTCTGTGCTCCCAATAATCATCTTCCGGTTGAAACACGTACTGGCCATCTTGAGAGAGCTTCCGCGCATAATCCATTTTATTCTTCGTTTTCTCTCACTGCGTCGCACCCGTCCACTGCTCCCCTAGTACATCACATAACGTGCGGGGAATGGGTTGTCGGATGCAAATGGACTGTCGGTGGTATCAGCGCCGGCCGATTCTGTGGCGCTACCGCCACCGCCGCCACTGGATTCCGTGCTATCGATACCTCCGCCGCCGGCAGTGGCTTCGGGGTCTTCTAGTGTACGGCCGGTCTTAGTGTAGCCCCGCGTGTCATTGTTCTCCATCTTGCTAGGCTGCAGGAGCTGCATTTCGATTTTCATCTCCTCAAGTTTCAGAGCGCCGCCAGCAACGAGAGGTCCGGCAATCAACGCGATGAACACGATCAGCATGGTGAAGTACAGGATGCTGTAGCGGATGACGCGTCGTTTACGGAGTTTGGTCTGCTTGAGGGAATAGATGGGAGGTCGAATTTGTCGGCTGTATGGACGTTAGTTGATAGCCTTCAAGTACATAATGTTGCATAACATACCTTGGACGCAGCCAAAAGAGCATAACCGAATGGACTTTGTCGATATACGGGACAAGCAGCGGGGGCAACATTATGAATAGCAGGATATGTCCTAGGATGAAGTCCGCTGCAAAGTAGCCAAGCTCAGTGATCTTGCAGAGGAATTCACGGCCCGGCTGAGAGATAGTGTGCCAACCCATGGCGTACCATTTGCCCGTCCACCATGCGATGTTCGAAGCGTCCGCTTTGAATTCACGCGTCAGAGCCAGAGCGATGATCAGCTTGTAAACGAATCGCTGGATAGCAACGACCGTGATCATTCCGAGCACGGCTTTGCTGAATGACCAGCCTTCAAGGAAGAACATGACCTCAAAGAAGGCAAGCAGCATGATGACTGCGATGGCGTGGGCGATGGCGGCAAGGACAGCGCCGAATTTTTTGCAACACATGGACAGCAAAGGACCCGCGCAACAAGCCAGGGCAAACATCCCTCCAAGAACGCCAGCGTTGACGGCGACGGGTGCAAAAGCCACAATGCCAACGCGGATGAGCGAGTTCGTGGCTTCGAGCTCTTTGTCGGGGTTATTGTTTTCGTTCACGCCCGTCTGTGCGTTGATAAACAAGTACGGGATCAGGCAGACGACAATCAGAAGCAGTGGCGAGATGATCTCACTGAAGAAGATGTTGGTGAAGTGCGCCCGTGGAGCATCCCCCGACAGCTTGGCGGAAGGATCGCCGAGGGCCTTGCGCTTGTATCCCGTAATGCGTGTCCGTGTCAGCCGGCAGAACCCGATCCAGGATGCGGA